GTTCAAAAACTAGCTCGATCGCGAGTGAGGTTGCCCCCGTGCTCGAACCCAGTATAATAAGGGGATCGGTCTATTGCACAGGAGGAGGCGAGATCCTTCCGGGTTTGAGCCTGGAACCGTAACTGTTGTTCAATGCGCAAATCGTTTGCACTGGATGTCACTGGTGCGACGCACAAGTGAATGTACTGGCATTTGAATGACATACATAGAATCATGTAGTTGACACTTGCCGGTATTCAAAGTAACATAGTTTAGGCAGTCGGGAGCATTATCACCGTATTCATATGCACGTCTGGTACGCTTTCCAACGGCCAAAGAGAGTTGGAAAGCTTGTGTCTTTGTGGGTAACCTGAACATTTGGGCTCATGCAAAAATCGCTTCGCCATTGCCGAGCCACCGTGCTCACAGCAGAGACTTCTGTGTGTGTTATTGTTGTGAAGTGGACCACAAGGACTGTATGGTTACATTCGTGTACGAACACACAACAGAATACATTCTGCTGTATATACATGCGATTTAGGTGTAGTAAAAAGGCGGTGTCGGGGACCTGCCCAGGCTTCAGGTGTGGTGTAGAATTAGGTGACCAGGGTTCTTTGCACATACAGTGTAGAGTGCATACTCCAGTGCCACTCAGGTGTAATCATTCAAGTGATGCTTCAGGGGTAATCTACCCTGTCGCCTGGTTTCTCTACCAAAATGTCCGATGTTAAACTTATCTTGTTCGTTTTGAGGGGGGAGGGAGGGGAGAAATGAACAAATATCGTCTTGAAAAAATATCGATATTTACGGACGGCCGCTTACGAAATAGTGGTAGCGATGATTGTTTGCAAAGAGTTTGCTCCCCACACTGGAGCTGGCGCTATTCCGCGTCTTCTGTTCTTACCGTCCACGAGCGATACTGACTCACGCTGCCATCTGGTAATCAAGAGGTGTTTGTCGCGCTGGAAGCGGACCGTTTCTGTAAATTTGTCTACCTGGTGAAGTTTGGGCCTGGAGAGCACTATATAACTGATGCTTGCACAATTTCGGTCAGACTACTCAAGCTCAACTGATGAGGGGGGAATTCCCCCAAACACTTTGTATTGAGCAGGTAGCGGTGCTTTCTTTCAGGTCTACCGAGCCGAAGGTTCGATGGACTTCGCATGTGCTGAGCACACGAGAAGTCCATTGAACCTGCAAGGAAGCACCACTCCCTGCTGCTGGGAGTGGTGCTTTCTTGCAGTTTTGCCGAGTCGAAGGTTCGAGGCACTTCTCGTGTGCTCTGGATGACAGTCTTGAGCCAGTCAAGTGAAGCGTCAAGTCGGTGGAAAATTGCGAGCTCCAGTTTTATTTATTTGTTTTGTCGTTTGTTTTTTTCTAAATTCGTACATTACACGGGTACTTGGGCCCAAAGAGAAAAAAGGCGAATAGAGAAATAATGGTGCAAAGGAGGAAAAAGAAATAATATGACAGGATAACAGAAGAAAATCACAAAGCAAAATGGCCCAGGCTCCAGAAGCGCTAACGAAGCGACAGAAACTGTGGGAGCTGCGATAATTCACATGTCCAGGAAATAAGGCAGTCTCTCTCTCTCTTCCTCCCCTCTCTCTCTCTCTCTCACTCCCACTCCCACTCTCTCTCTCTCTCTCTCTCTCTCTCTTCCTTTTTTTCTCTCTCTCTCTCTCTCTCTCTCTCTCTCTCTCTCTCTCTCTCTCTCTCCCTCTCTACATTTTCCATTATTTCTCTCTGTCTCTCTCTTTCTCTCTGTCTCTCTCTGTCTCTCTCTGTCTCTCCCTGTCTCTCTTTGTCTCTGTCTGTCTGTCTGTCTGTCTGTCTGTCTGTCTGTCTGTCTGTCTGTCTGTCTGTCTCTCTCTCTCTCTCTCTCTCTCTCTCTCTTTCTCTCTCTCTCTCTCTCTCTCTCTCTCTCTCTCTCTCTCTCTCTCTCCCTCTATCTATCTTTCTCTCTCTCTCTGTCTCTCTCTCTCTCTCTCCCTCCCTCTCTCTCTTTTATCATGCACGCTTCACATTCTCATTATTATATTTCTCGTATAATTTTGCATGCTTCACACTCTTATGTAATATTTCCTTCCTCTCTTCGTCAGGTTGTGAGGGTTTGGACAATCCACTTGTCCAGGTGAGTAAGCAGCAATGCCTCTTCATTCAGTCTGGCAAAGTATAATAACATAATTACACCAACCAACCCAACTGGTCACTTATGTACACACATATTCACTTGCCATAAGGAAAGACAGCAGCCGCAGCAGCAACACCAGCAGCACTCCAACGCACCAGTGTGGAGAGCAAACAGTTTCCTATGCCAAGGCATCTAACATAATTATTGCATTGAATTTCTATAAGTGCATTGAGTAGTCCAGCTTCTTCTATTCCAGGACATCTAACAAGCTTCAGCGCGTTCGTCCCATCATGCCCGCATCCAACACACATTATTTTGCAGTCGTTGTTTGTAGCAGTTCACATTGCACGGGAGCCAGATGGGTGTAGGTTCGTCGATCGTGAGTTCAGTCTACCAGCAAACCGAACTCTGTTCCTACGCGTACGTCTAGCCTAGCGCGTACGCGCGCAAAGATGAATAGCATGAATGAGAACGATACGACACATGGATCCTATGAGGCATGCAATGTATACAACAACACTCATCCGTACATCTAGTTTGATCACTGCTAGCCATGAAGTTTCCGCATCATACTAATCTCACTATAATTATTATCTCTTATTGGCCACAGGCCATCGTGAGAATAAAGATTTGAAACACCTTTAATAATAGCTATGAAAAGTATGAATGCCGCAGACATCACCACGCAACATGACAATTTGTTCAAGGTTTGGTTTTGTGTGAAAATCGATTTTGGAAACACACAAAACCAAACCTTGAACAAATTGTCATGTTTCGTGGTGATGTCTGCGGCATTCATACTTTTCATAGCTATTATTAAACTTTTATCTCCACGTAGATTAATTAAACACCTTTAACCTTCTCATAAACGTATCTCTTATTGGCGATGGTGGGATCGTGAGAACAAAGAATTCAAAATAGCTGACTACGGACTTGTCACAGACATTACTTGAGAAGGCCCTCTATTACAAGTCCTCGAAATGTGAATTTGGCCCACATGCAGTCCGGTACCAAGCCCGCCACATTTATGGGTTCTATGTAGCACCAGACCCGAAGAAATTCGAAGTGGCGAGATCCGGGTCACCTCCTACATCATTTTAATTAAGCAGGATAGACAATTTGTTTGGCTTTGCCAATTACTTCAGAAGATTCTTTGATCAGTACTGGTTCGTTTCAGCACCTCTTGAGGTTGAGGAAATAACTGGGTGGCAGCGAAGAGTGTGAGACAATGTCAAACTAAGCGCCTAACGCCCGCTGGAGCCATTATGTGGAAGAGATTGCCGTCAGAATCAAAAGGTTCAAATAGGTATTTGGATAAAATTTTCTATTGTCCGCAAGCTCCAATGCAGCCACTTACACATAACTTCACTTCCCACCTCCAAACTCCAAAAACCGTCTCTTTACTGCGATTCAAATTCCAATGTCCGTTACAAAAACAAGGCAACCTGTTCACACATTGACACTGCCAGTTCATTGCTGCCAATTGTTTTTGGTTACTTCATTTTGTTGCCATTTCTTCTTGGTTCTTAGTTCTGTTTTACCCTTTATAATCTGATGCATCGCATGCCTTGGGTGTCTTTCTCTTGCAACTACTTCAGTATCTTGGAACTAAGTTGGAGCTGTTACAACCCTTCCAGGACGCTGTTTAACTGTGGTTACCTATCAAAAAGAATTATAGATATGCTTTCTGAGGAGCCAAAGCATGGAGAGTGGACAGCGTCACGGCAGGTGGCTCGCCATCTCTCTCGATCCTGGACGATGGTACCAAGCTGATCCCGACGACCGCCAACACTTGAACAGCCACCAAGTCGCATTTCGCAAAGTCCTTCCAACGCTTACGGGGTGCATGCTACCAACGCTTGGATGGTAACGCACCGTACAGCAGCTGGGCAGGGATACGATCTGGCATGTGGGATACGTCACCAAGCAATCGAAGTTGGCCGACTCTGAATTTATCCGCGACGTCCTCCAGATCGCTCCACATCCTACGAAACTGGAGAGAGGAAATGTGCTCCTCTACCTGCCGGCCACGATTCAACTTCAGGATGGAACCTGTACACTGTATATGAAAGGAGTCCAGGCCCCTGACGTCGCGCTGCCTGACACTCCAACTCTCCGATTCATAAAATAAGGACTGCCACGACAGTCACTCTGTACACAATGCGTTTTAATGGCGATGCGGAAATCGTCATTGTGGAACACCGACCCCCACTGCGTACAGAATGCACCCGATGCAGCAGCGACTCGTCGAGACACATCAAATGAGCTCCTAGCGTATGGCGTCACATGGCAACAGATGTGGCGGAATGCCCCCAAGAGCTCCACAACACCATCCAAAGTTGTCTGATCGGCATCCGCATTACCAGCCCCAGCCGCTATGATTTTTTGTAATTTGCAAACCGAACGGACTGAACATTTCCAATGACAAGGAATTTGCGCTGGGACAAGTCGACAAGGACGCCACATGCACATAGCTACATCCCTGAATGAGGATAGGGTACTCTCATGCAGAGATTAAATAAAACGGGGGCCATAGTGCAACCCTGCCGCAAGCCATTCTCAACACTGATCGGCGCGAGCAGGTCTCCAGCCACACGGTTACTGGCAGTCATATTGCTTTGGAAGGAACAGATGACAGACACACGCACACATACACACATGCACACACACACACACACACACACACACACATATACACACATGTACGCACACACACGCGCACACACACACACATATACACACATGCACGCACACACACACACACACACACACACACACACACACAAATGCACGCGCGCACACACACACACGTACAAACATGCAGATACACATACACGCACACACACACACACACGCACATGCACACACAATTCAGGCATTGTATGGGCACCATTGATGTGTATTCACATTAGAGAACAGGGATGGAGCCTGGCAATGCTGACTAGTGAATAGTAGTAAAGAGCTGTGAGTGCTCAGATAAATATGCAATGACATGTAGCGAGTAGTAAGTCTCCACATAAAAAATACGTAGTTGCAAACTTTTAAAATTTTTTACATATCGATGTTGATTTGAAGTGTTGATTTGAAGTGAGAATTGCAGCAAGGAAATGCTACCAAGTGTATAAATAGGAAATCCATCAGTAATCCGATCCGTGATACGATAGTGACGAAAAAATTACCAGATTTTTAAAGAAGAATGTGTTGAGTCAGCAGATCGCAAAGCATAAAAGTGAAATATTATGTATTAGCTGACTGTGATGCCCTGCTTACACCGGAGTTCCCAAGGGCAGGTGGCGAAAGAAATGCGCTGAACAGCTTTGGCAAAAAACACCGAGCTGGACCATATTATTCAAAGTAAATTATCTCCTTATTGTAAAGAATGCCGTTGTTGTTTCCAAGGAGACTGCTGAGTGAGTACTGCTAAAGTGAGTACTGCTTGTAGCCCAAGCACTAGGTCATTCATTCCCAAAAGCATGTACACGATAATAAATTATGACACAAAGTGCAAAATAGACATGGGGTTGTGTGAAATGGAGTGCATTGTACGCTGGCGAGTCGCCTGCAGAGGATTCAAGTTATAGAATGCAGAGGAGATATGATAGACAATCAATTGATCACAACGGGAAACAAGAGAACTGTTCCGAGGTACTGTACAGTGGTGCAGTGCAGCAGTGTGCTTTCCGGGCAGCCTCATTCCATCAACTCCTTGAAGGGCTGCAGCGGAAAGCAGCACAAACGCAAACACAAATTGTTCAGAGCCTGGCACGGAAACGCGGTACATCACATGTCCTTTACAATGCAACGTGAAACCTACTAGTAGAGGGGTGAACACAGCATCTGGTATGGGAGAAGGGGGGGGGGGGAGTGCTCCTACACGAATATATGGCAAGTTGAGTGGCACGGGTGCATGGAGTAAGCACACATCGAAGTCTTCAAGGAGGTGCCTGGGAATGCAAATACTCTCCGAGCCCAATACTGTGCACCATACACTGGTGTGGTACGTAGGGATAACAATGCGTTGCGCTCCTCAGGAAAGAAAAAGGTTTTAAATGACGACTTTGCAATTGACTTACATCGTTCATTGGCAGGGAAGTGTTCGCAGGGAGTGTGCTTTGAGCCGGTTTCCTGGCAACTCTCTTCTTTGTGGGTCTGCTGGTGGCCTGCAGAATAAGCACAATGTACACATTTCAGTCGGCATGTGTCATGTGGTAACAGTTTTGAGGTTCCTCCCTATAGCTGCTTGAAGATCATTTTTGCTGAAATTTAAAATTACGTGCACCCCCACCCCCCCCCCCCCACACACACACAAACACATCCACACTGATGCACACACACACACGCACTCACACACGCACGCACACGCACAAACCCTCCCCCGCGGAAAAAACGGAAACAGAGACGAGTAAACACACGTGCAAACGCACACACACTCACTAACACAAGCACAAAACCGCAACAAAACGCTAGCACACGCACACACGCATACACACAGACACACACACACACACACAGAGGAGTCAGAAGCTGCAGCCTCACCAGATCTAGCTGGGCATAGCTTCCTCCTTGAGTCTGCTTTGGAGCCCGCTCAGACTGTGATCGTGTCTGAGATACATGCCGTCCCTAACCCAGATAGCACACATAAGAAGAAAACACACGAAAGTTATCAGACGGCATCTTCGTTTTACGGGTACTATATGGTGTGAAAGTGTAGTCTAATTCTCCAAATTTGTTGGCTAGAAACAATGTATGCATCCTGCACTCTAACGAGGTGGGTCAGGTTGAGCATATTGGAGTATGAGATCATGATACCAGTACAAACAGAGAACACACAGTGAAACATGGTTCTTGAGCGAATACAACCGCATCCAGCACCTTTGCTGCAATCGCTTTGAAAATCTCGATGACACTACCGTGTGCTGTGCGTGAGCCACGATGTCGGAGTTAGTCATTTCCGCCGCCACTCCCCAGAATGCGATGGCAAAAGATGTGCGAACACCTCCACATGGACGTCATCCTTTCAGCAAAGTCTTCTAGCCAACCAAATTAGTCTAAGACAGATGCCAGCAATTGATGCCGATTTCCTTTAGCAACCAGAGGCACATCGCTCTGGAGGCTATTGAATAACGCCAGCTCGATTACATGACGTGCGGACTCTGTCCTGCTACAGCACAGGCTGTACCTCACATGTGTGAGAATCACCGAGTGCCACTGACCAGCTCAACGCATGCCTTCCTGCACCCGGACTCATCGAGGTAGTACCTCACAGCAGCCTTGTGGTACCACACAAGCACGCACACACGCACGCACGCACGCACGCACGCACGCACGCACGCACGCACGCACGCACGCACGCACGCACGCACGCACGCACGCACGCACGCACGCACGCACGCACGCACGCACGCACGCACGCACGCACACACACACACACACACACACACACACACACACACACACACACACACACACACACACACACACACACATACAGTCAACTTCGCTTATAACGACATTCGGCGAGGCATCAAAAGTGTCCTTATTCGCGAAGTGTCGTTATACCCGAAGTCTCATTGTATGCATTACATTTGGAATGGACTTTGCTCTGGGCATGGTAATGCTGTCGTTATTCGCGAATTGTCGTTATATCCGCAGTCGTTATTAGCGAAGTTGACTGTACACACACACACACACACACATACACACACACACACATACACACACAAAAACGTCCCAAACTCCGCTTGTCGGAGGTCGGAGGTAGTAGCACAAATATACCATCGGGCAACTTACGTGTTGACTGAGTCTGGAGTAACTGACTGCATCACTTGCTGGAGCTGATGGTTGCGCTGCTCGTCCCTCCTGCAGTAATCACACCGTACAGAACATAGCCTAGGTTAACCAGCTGCTGTGGCTGTGAAAAACAGACTTAAGGCTGCACCGAAAATAAATTTGAATCGAGTCACTCGACTGAATTGCTTGGGCGGAGAATTTTTTTCAAATGCATTCTTGGAAGTACGTTTACATCTATGAAAGTCCATATAGCCATTCTGCATCATGATAGACTTTTGAGTTTTGCTGTGTCATGGTGTTCGCTAGTTCACCTGTTAAACACTGGTTACCGCACCATTGAACACATGACATGGCACCCCCAACCCCCACCCCCCAACCCTCCCCTGGATGGGTCAGGCATCTTGTGCAGTGAAACTTGCACAAGCAAGTATATACTCGCATGAACAACATTTGATAATGTTAGCAATAAGATAAAAAGCCTAGCAAGTGATCAGCCTTCTTTCGCCAGGCTAACTGTGAAGCAAAAGAAACTTTCTGTGCACCCTAATATGGCTTTGTCATGGACCACTTGGACAGTCTCATCACACTTGGCCCGATTCAGTGGCAGTGTTGGGAAGTGCCAGCATATGTCCAAAACAGCAGCAAGACATCTAACCAAAATCTGGAAACGATGGGACTTGGTGGCCACTACTTACATCTCGTTGCAGTTTACTGTAGCCTTTCTCTCCAGGCTTGATTACTGCGCTCGGTGCTACTGCTTGGGAATAGACAGCATCATTGCTCGCTGCACTAGATGCTTGCACCCGCGTATAAATCACACCATTGCTTCTTGGCGGCTGCTGAGGATAGCGAGAGACAGAGGCAGAGCCCGAGACCAAGAGAGACAGAGACAATTACAGAGACAGAGACCGAGAAAGAGACAGAGACCGAGACCAAGACAGAGACCGGGACAGTTACAGAGACAGATACCGAGACAGAGTCAGAAACAGAGTAAAGCAGAGGGAGAGGGGCAGTGGAGACAGAATGACTTTGTGATACGACAAAAGAACTAAAGAGGCACAGGAAGCATTTTTCAGTTCCTGGACACAGCGTCCATCAAGTTCATCCAGAGCCAGACTTACCTCTGTCTGCAGAGTGGAATACATCTCCTTTCCACTGGTTGGGGCGTTTGGTTGGGCAGCTGGTCTACCGACAGGATTGCTAGTCTGTACATTAGGAGAAGAAGACGTGGGCAGAGTATAAGCAACTGTGTTCTGGAACACTGGCGCATGCCTAAGTGAAGCGTTCTAAGCACGCTACGCAATGGTAGGGAAATCCTCCGCAGTATAGCACAAGGCAGACGTGTAATTTCTTGCGCACAACAACGCAAGTAATGGCATCAATGTAAGGCTTGATGGCGAGCAAGCAACGCATTGAACGGACTTGCTACAGCACCCTGCGTGTGTCTAGGAGGATGTTTTTTTATCTAGGTACCGTAACGTTAAAACCGGAAAGTCAAGTAAAACCGGAAAGTCAAGCGAGTCACAAAGTCTAGCGTTTCAGCGACCATTTTTTTCGTTATTAATTTTGAAGAAATATTTTCCCTAACCCGGTTCGATATGTCTGTGTAAAGATGCTCATCCATCAATGCATGTTCACGGTGGCCAGGTAGCCATCGTTAAACATTCTGCACGTTATCCTGCCAAAATTACAAAAACACATTAAACCTTTTTGCTCGTTAAACTTTCTGGTTTTACAGTATTCAATCCTGACTTTCAAGATTGGTGCATTGATTGTCTCCGGAGCCTCTGAAGGCTCCAAAAGCAGCCTATTGAATGTGATCCTTAGCCAGGCAGAGCACATGATGTCGCCTGGATTGAATGGACACGTGTGTAGTACGGATAGGTGCTCTAAGTCGTAGAAGACAGGAATTCTGATATTTTCTGGCACAGAACGCCCTAAGAACTTCGTGCGGCCCACACAGCACTCCCCCCCCCCCCCCCAACACACACACACACCTTCACCCATTACAATATCTGAACAAACATCATCTCACCCGTCTCTTGAGGGCCGAGTATTCACCCGACGGCTGGATGGCCTCAAGCTGAGGAATAGTACCGGATCGTTTTGGTGATGGCAGCTGATGAAGCTTGTCAATCGCTACAGAAGTCTGCTTTCCGGCAATCAGCTGCTGTCCATCGTATTCCTGCACAGACCAAACACGCAGAAAGTGAGAGAAAGACACCCACAGATATTGGTTTTTAAAATTTATAATGTCCAACATTCACCGGTGGATGTACCCAGTGTGCTGACACTGCTCAACACCGCGGAGGCAGAGCACAATACACAGGACAACAAGGACAATCAAGGCTAGTTAGTCGCTTCTCTGAGTTTCATGCTTATGCAATCATCAGGCAACATTTTTTATACTTTGCCTGATGATTGTTTGCTTGCCCGTGTTGTTCGGCGCAGTGTCCATTATTCAAAGAACATCAAAGAACTTTGCAATGGACAACTAACACCCGTCTGCGAAACCTGATGGTGAATGTAGGCAGCGAGAATCTAGCACGACCAAAAGACAACTATCAGATTATCACAGCTATTGGAAAACGTACTACTTTTAGCAGCTCGGAGGAAAACCTTTCAGAAAAGGGCCATTTGAGAAGAGGACCACTATCGGAAGGACAACTATCAGAAGGACAACTATCAGAAGGAAATGGAGACAACAGTCACGAGGACAACTATAGGATGGACAATTAGCAGAAAGACAACAGTGTGTCAGTGAACATTACTTTTGTATTCGCACAAGGCAGGCGAAACTGTCCAACTGTTTCCGACGAAAGATGGAGGCAGTTCGATTAACATGCAGCAACGAAGTGCATCCCGATCTTACCTCTACGTATTCACCATCTTCATTGGTTTGGCCATCCATCTGTTCCGGAAAAACACACACAAGCGCAGATGCAAACACAGAAACACACAAATGCAGACAGACACACAGACACACACACACACACACACACACACACACACACACACACACACACACACACACACACACACAGACAGACAGACAGACACACAGACAGACACACAGACACACACACACACACACACACACACAAACGCACAGTAGGAATAGCTATCCAACGGCATTGTTCCATAGATCAAACAGAATTGATTCCAGACTTGACACAATTTCCAGTGCAAAGAAAAGGGAGGTGAATTTGTATTTTAAAAGCAGGAAAACCAGTTATTGGCCATAGGCATGGTTGCCAAATTCTCAGTCTCAACCGAAAATTGAATGCATCTTGATTGACTTGTAGCAGCAATTTGGGCACTGATCTTACATCCAGATAGTCATCATCTTCAATGGTTGAGCCTCGCTTCTGTTTAGCAAACACAAACACGGATGCACACATGCATACACACACACGCACACGCCCGCTCGCGCCCGCGCTCGCATGCATGCACGTACGCATGCACGCACGCACGCACGCACACACACACACACACACACACACACACACACACACACATACACACCATTGGACCATTGGACCATTGGACGCCCATCGCCGGAGGCGATGATAGCGATGCTACACCAGAAGCCATAGCAACTTGTGCTGGGATTGCACCATTCAACAGCTTGCAAAGCTGAAGAATTGGCTGCCATATTTCAGCCCGGTCTACACCACTTTTTTCTTTTTTTCCCGCATACACATCACACCACATACTCCGGCATGCACTGGCTGTTGGTAACCACCCAGGAGAATGAAAGAAAAGACAGGAAGAGTCTGAGAAAGAGAAGGAAGACGTGTGTGACCATAATCGTCGGGAATCGAACCCGCAACTTATCGTTTGGGAATCGCTGCACATACCACTGCACCATATGAGACACACACACAAGTACGCACGCACGCACACACACACACACACACACACACACACACACACACACACACACACACACACAACTTTTGACCTTTATATTTAAAACCTTCCGACGCCCTGAAAGCGATGCTACAGCAGAAGGCATAGCCACTTGCGCTCAGATCGCACCATTCAACAGCTTACAAGGCTGAAGAATGGACTGCTGCTATTCAGCCTGGTCTAAATCACACTAACACTCACATACAAACACGCATACAAGCATGCGCGATCCCTGGTGCGCACACACACATGCCCGCACATGCCTCCGAAACCCAATCAAAGGTAGACTTTCCCATGCACTAACACTTCAACACTTATTCATACACTCATTATGGCGTAGAGTGGAGAGGTATTTGATCGGTGAATTAAAAAAAACACGCCAATACTCACGGGTGGGAATCGTTTTCCAGAACATCACTACTTAGTCAATGATTGCCTTGCACATGATTATACGGCCATTTCTAGGAAATCACACTAGACTAGGAATAGCTCACCTCCAGTACTTTGTACCTGACACTCTCAGACCGCTCTGCCATGACTCCCTGTAGATACATACAAACAGACAGGCATACAGATAAACAGTCAGGCAGACAGACAGACACTCAGATATACAGACATGCAAGCACCCCCCCCCCACACACACACGCACGCACAAACAAACAAGCACAGACACACAGACACAAACACCAACACACACCAACACACACATATGAAAGTTTCAAACAGCATTTTATCGATAACAACTGGGAAATGGAAAACACACACCTTGAGCATGCGACCCCATACACCACGGCTCGTAGAGACTGGCTTCATGAATTCTATGGCTCTCTAGATGTAACGTGTGTGGTATGCCAATGGTTTAGCTCAGCATGACAATATCAATACTTAGTGATGTTCTTTTCAAATGCAGAATCACCATCATTCTCCGATTCACCAAACACCCTACCTGTGACACAGGGCCGGCGTTGAGTTGATATGGATCCAGACGACTGCCGTGTGCGGTGCTGGCCGGCTGTGCCTGTCGTGTGCGTGGTGGTAGCGCGGTGCCGCGTGTGGGACTGGCCAAGCCGCCCCCGTTCTGCATAGCAGTGGGCCGAGACCCTTGGTGTGCTTGCACAGCAGAGCCACCATTTGCGGTGGCCACTTTGTCATTGAAAACCGGGTTACGTATACCACTGGTGATGCAAGAATCGTCCATGTCTGCAACATTGAAAAGAACCACACACCATTCAGAAATGGGATTGGTGGGAATGAAAAGGTCATTGAATAGAATCAGAATCGAATAGAGCCAAAATTGAATAGAACCACACGCCATTCTGCAATGGAGTTGTGGGCATGAGCATGTCGTGAAGGTATGTAAAGCTTCCACCCATGACTGTCAAAGTGGCATGTGTTGGTAATGCTAGAAAAGCAGACCAAAATGTCTGGTTCCTGTGACTTTCTTAAGGATGTGTTCCACCTGCACTACATGCACTCTCTAGGCGACCTCGGCCACACCACTAACATGATTTCAAATCGTAGATATTGGCATATTGAATTACCCTCATGGTATCCTGTGAATATTCTATGAATTCTATCAAGAATCTGGGCAATTCATCCGCATCCATGCGACACCGGAGTACCTGTGTCTCGTTGGGCCTCAGAGCAATCACCCAGAACGGGAGCATTTGCACTGACATATAATAGGGACACTTGCGAAAGAATGTAACCATATTTATCGTTAATTCACTCTTTCCTTTGCACATGTACATATGCAGTAACACACACATGTTCGTAATGACGATAGTGATATCTATCTACGATCGGCGGCTACAGGGACTACACTCAGGTCCATTGCTGGACACTGAACTGGACTCACCGAACATTGGATTGCGCACTTGTATACTGGAGGACTGCGTGGCGGCCTCCAGTATGATCTGCTTGTCGTCGGCATGACTTCGTCGCCGGCGTGCAAACAACACTAGCAGTATTAACGCCAGAAGGAGCAGCGCCGCACCAGCAGCTGCACCTCCAGCGACCGCACCGATGTTATTCTCTCCGCCGGTTTGCTTGTTGGGGTTGACGAAGATCGCGAAGGTTGTCTGCTGCTGATCGTCCGTTGTCGGCGGGACTGGTGTCATAGATTGGGGCGTTGTTCCAGGCATCGGGCTTGTTTTCTCCTGGGTGGTCTTTGCAGATGAGGTACCCGGCAAGGGCTGTGTTGTCGGCTGTGTAGTGGGTAACGGCTGCAGTGTGGTCGCTCGAGGCGTAGTGACAATGGTGGTGGGTTTGGCTGTGGGCTTGGTTGTTGGTGGGGGAGTTGTTGGCTTGGTGGTTGGAAGTGAAGTGGTTGGCTTGGTGGATGGCGGTGTGGTGGGCAGGGTGGTTCGTGGTGGGGTTGTTGCAATTCGTGTTGTCGGTGCACTGGAAGCGATTGTAGTAGGTGGAGAAGCTGGTGTGGTCTTTGGCATTGTCAGAGGTATCGTAGTCGGTATGGTGGTTGAGATAGTGGTTGGGGTGGTGGTTGGTGTGGTGGTCGGCGTCGTGGTCGGTGTGGTGGTCGGTGTAGTGGTTGGTGTAGTAGTTGGTGTGGTTGTCGGGGTGGTGGTTGGTGTGGTGGTCGGTGTAGTAGTTGGTGTGGTGGTTGGTGTGGTGGTCGGTGTAGTAGTTGGTGTGGTAGTTGGTGTAGTAGTCGGCGTGGTGGTTGGAGTAGTGGTTGGTGTGGTAGTCGGTGTAGTGGTTGGTGTTGTTGTCGGTGTAGTAGTAGGTGCAGTGGTCGGCATGGTTGTTGGAGCTGTAGTTGGCATCGTCGTAGGAGGCTTCGTCAGCTCGGTTATCATTGGTGGTTTGGTGGGGATATCAGTGATTACTGGGATAGTGACAGGAGGCTTCTTGGTAGTCTGTGCCAGGGTTAAAACTGGGATAGTGGATGTACTGACGACAACAGGCGCTGTGTAGAGTACATACACAATCACACATATCCATTTCACTGTGCCGAGATATGCATGTAAGACCTGATGAAAAAATCTACACAAATCTTGCGAAATTCAAAACAAGAAATTGCAGACAAAGCAGGGTTTGATTGATAAATGTATACTGTATGTTTCGTACCTACTGTATATCCAGAATTTCATTTTTTTAATCCAAAACAAGCGAAAAATGCCACACGTGATGAACTCTTTGCATAAAAAACCCATGTTTGCAAAAGTTGTTTCTGAGTACTACATGTCGAGTTCCCGCTACCTCCTTCTTGGGCATCACCAGTTTGATGGCATTTCACATTGAAAATGAGCGTCAAGATTTGTATCCAGGCAGCATGCAGCGATCAAGCTTTTCAAGTTTATTCCGTATTTTTCCCAACCAGACCTCCGTGGTTAATGCCATATTCTCATGTTGTTGCAGTCCATGGTAAACAGGCATAATTCTCTTAAAAGGAAACTTTTGTTCATAGCTCACACCCATATCATATTATCGTGACTAAAGTGGGCAGTTCGACTGAGCCCTTACGTTTCGGACAACAGCTCAGAGAGACCTCATCGATCCAGATGTTCTTCCATCCGGTGCCAGAGATGGCAGTGAACACCACCTGTGCATAGCAATGGCAATATGGGCAACAAACAACATGATCTCATGGATAATATTATATAGGAGAAACATACAGCACCGAAACCACTGCGATACAAACAGTTACGTCAAACCCTCCTGATACATTTGAGAAGACCTCATCATCTGGTTTTCTGCCTTGACATGTAAATTGAGGCATTACTTTCCGAAGATCGGTGATGATATAAATTTCAACAGCAGCTCCGAGATTCGAATGAGCCACCAAGTCAAGTTTCCTGGATAGTATCCACCCTTTCAGTTGTGTATCACCAGATTCAGCTTGGTTGAAAAGCTGAACACACATTTAGCTGTGCATTGAAGTCGGAAGTGTGACTAGCCTAAACTAGCTGGTAACAGTTGTCATAGAATGATGTCGTAGATGTCTCTGTGTCTCATTAGTACTAAATGAGATAAACTCAAGATCAAAGTAGTAGTAGCAGGTGGCTACAATTGGGCTTTCCCCGTAGAATATACAGCAAACATACCTGGACGCTTGTAGACTTTCCTGGCAGGGAGAATGACTTGGAGACCTTGAACCACTTCTTGGATGTCCCATCCTTCTGCCTCATGGTGTAGATAATCTGTGTGAGAAGACCTGCAGATGTCACTACCAAGGCGCCGTCCTTCATTGCCGTCACATTGGCAAAGAAGGTCAGGTTGCACAGGTTGCCACCAGTGGACGTCTGAACACCAACACCGGTCACAAGAGAACAGCAAAGAAGAAAAACAACAAGCAGGGACTGAATTATTTCGCTCAGGAAGCACAGTAAAAAAACCTTTTTAAATTCAAGGTTCATGTGAGACTGGGCTAGACGCAGAGTTTTCCGTGCCCGTAGGAACGCCACCACTGTCAAGGGTCAAGGCGAAGATGCGTCTCCTAAAGCGGTGGGATGCTAGTGATCAGATCCACCTCGAAGTGGTCAAAGACCGAAAATCCCATTCACCGCATCCATGCTTCCCTTGTGCCAGGCTACGAAAAACATCAAATAAACACACTACTAATGTACACCGTATGACTACACTGGTAAAGGGTAGAGGGGGTTCACCGAAAAGAAATTTGGATAATGTTGCCGAAGAGAATCATACTAGAATGTCATGGGGAACATGTACAAGCCTGTATACGTCAACACTCCGGCCCTCCTTCAAGTAACACGTGGCCAACTCTTGCAACATTCAACATGGTGTGTATTAACACGAAGCAGACCTCTTTATCTGCTCACAATCTACTGCTTAATGTAGATACATAATGCTCGTTACGCCAAATGCATGCATATGTTATACTGGCGATTACCTTCGTGATGATTTTGGTCCAAGCTGTCGTTGCAATCGCCAGTGAAGCGCCCTCCACAGAACTCAACACCGAACCAGACGCTGTGGTGTAGGAGCAAATAGATCATCCCAGACCGTATACAGTCAACAGGGCAGAAAGGTGAACGGAACCAGAGCACAATACACATAATATATTGCCGGGATCTTGCGCACAATTTTTTTTAAGTTCTTGGTTCGCGTCAGACTCGGCTGGAGGCCGAGTTTTCCGCTTCCGTAGGAGAGCCACCACCCATCAAGGGTCAAGGCGTTTGTGCAAAACAGAATGAAATATGAGCTGAGCAGTTCTTGCTCACGTTTCAGCTCCCCTGTCGCCGGGAATTTCCTATTGGCTTTTCTTAAAGCATCTTTTCATCGACCAGCTCAATCAACACAGAGAGTGTGTCCTAGCACTACAAACAGCGGGATACTGCTTGTACATTGCTCCTGGCCTGATTCCAGCACAAAACTAGAATAAAATGCGGTCGTGAAATTCGTACGTCAAATCAGCTTAACCCCTCCAATATAGACGTAACCTAGGCAACCCCTGGTCATAAGCGGTATTTCAAATACACCAGACATGTCCAAAGGAGCCCAAGCACACGCCAAGTTGCGATCATTAATACGCATATTCTTTCTACCAAAGCCATGCGAACTCACAACGCCAAGTTGTGTAATCGTAGCCTCCGGCGGCGCTGATCCGTTTCCACGTGCCAACAAAGCCGTCAAGACCGCCGCACTCAAACTCAGCCGGGTAGAAATAGTCGCACGCTGCCCCCAGAACATTGCAATCAAACAGAACAGCACATTAGCTACTTGGTCATTCCAGTCGGTAACACAACAAGATATACCTTATTTTCCGGTGTATAAGCCGCACTTAAAACACCAGTAGCCACCCCAAAAAGGTTGGGGCGGCTTACGCTACGATTTTCAACTGAAGCGTGAAGTACAGGGTTAGTGCCCGTACTTGTGAGAAAAAAATCCGGAAAATACAGTAACCATCTTCTATTACTAAGCACTGGCCAGTCTCTGAGTGAGGGGAAGACGATGCAACAAGGACACTACGAACCGAGGAAACTCGCCATGGCACATGAAATAGTGAGTGCAGCAGTATGTTCGTATTGCAAACTATTTACGGTATGAACATTGTACCATAAATACTCCCCCTGCAGGTACTGAAGAGCTGAAGAGAAGCATTGGCCTCCGCAGAAAGCAGGGACTAGGTTTCAACAGCTGACCCACATACAAAGAGGTGTGATCAGACTTGGTAAAGCAATCAGCTAGTTTCTTCCCATGATCAGATGTTGCCAGCACTGTCGATAGCAGTATGTGCATGTAAATGGTATCAATGCGAACCTGGCTTCAGATTCAATTTAAAATCAACAGGGTCGTTACTCTTGAGTGGAATAATATCCACCTAGTTTTGGGATTTTCACTGGGTTGGTATTTAGCTCTGGGCCAACATCCCATAGAATAGGAAACACCTTTAGCACCAAATTTCAAACATCAAATAATGGAGTGGGCTTGGTTCAGTGACTGGAAACCGAGGGTCTTCTCACTGGTCACTGAAAACAACTGCTGTTTGTACGTGTGTTTGAGTTCAACAGAAAGGAACATGAAAGTCAACCACTGCTGGATCGTGTGGTGCCTTGTGTACACAGGCACCGTCCATATCGCAGGCAGTAAGAGGAACGCGTTACGCCCGTAATTGGCACACATAGTCATTGCACGGAGCATATTGTGGCTTACTTTCTCCGCAACACGACACCGAAATGTCGTCCATGGCTATGTCGCCGAGCCACGTACTTGAACTTGTGGTGCTGAGTTTGCCCGTGATTTGCACCTGGGACGAAAAGCAGAAAAAATGGGAAAGGTCACCGACAGAACTTGAGGCAACTGAAGTGGTCAAAGGTTAAACAGGTTTCAAGAGATCGAATGCCCTGCATCCAATGGCTATGCGGGCCGTTGTGACCAGCATGTATGATCTGTTTTACCGATGGCTACATCAAACACATTTGAATTCACATAGCGCATACAGGTTAGTGTAGGGATAAGCGGCGCGGAGACAATACATTTATTAAAGAAATCAAACAATAGGAGGACAGAGGAAGTGTTTTTAATTCCTTGTTTTTACTCAGAGTTTCACGCACTAAGCGATCATCAGAAATCAGAAATCAGCAGAATCAGCGTATTTCCATAATGAATGTCTCTAGAAAACTTGATAGGAAATTTCAACGGATTTCAACGTCCGCTAGAGTGCCATCAACTACAACAGCAATGGCCCTTTGATTTGGATATCATGCATTGGTTCGGAGCACCGTCAACAGCCTCACCTTGAATTTGTTTCCTTTCGGTCGCACCCATATCAGTCCCTTGATCCACTGCGTGCTGCTGCCCGACTGAGGGCCGTTCCTGCAAAACACCGTCGAGTCGGTCGTTCCTAGGTTCGTGCCGACCTTCAGCGAGCCGATAGCGCTTCCGTACATGTTGTACCAGAACGACACGAAGCATAGGTCATCGGATGATGGTGGCGGGATCAATGCTGAGGTGAGTGTGGCATACTGGCCTGGTTTCCGAGGCGAACTGGCCTCAGTATAGATATAGAATCCGCCGTTAGCTGGGATGTAGACAAGGAGAGAAGCCCAAATGGCCATCAATATCGGTGGGCAGTAATTTTACCTGAGACATCGGTACATGGCCACGATGTGCACAGGCTTGGACACACAAACACACATGCACACACACGTACATACACATACATATATACACATACATACACACATACATACACACATACATATACACATACATATATACACATACATACACACATACATACACACATACATACACACATACATACACACATACATACACACATACATACACACATACACACACGTACATGCAAGCAACCACCCACCCCAACCCTCCCACAGCCACACATACCCCCACACACAAGCCTGGGCACACACGTGTACACACAGCACACACGTGTACAGTCATACAAGTACACACCATTGGACCATTGGACCATTGGACAATTGGACGCCCATCGCCGGAGGCGATGATAGCGATGCTACAGCAAAAGCCATAGCAACTTGTGCTGGGATTGCACCATTCAACAGCTTGCAAGGCTGAAGAATTGACCGCCACTATTCAGCCTCGTCTACACCACACAGCTATGAAGTGGCTTTTTCTGGCCAGTGAATCCCTACTTTTGGGTCTTTTTCATTTTTTTCTCGCACACACATCACACCACATACTCCGGCGTGCACTGGCTGTTGGTAACCACCCAGGAGAATGAAAGAAACGTCAGGAGGAGTCTGAGAAAGAGAAGAAAGACGTGTGTGACCGTAATCGTCGGGAATCGAACCCGTAACCTATCGATTGGAAATCGCTGCACATACCACTGCACCATATGGGACACACACACACACACACACACACACACACACACACACACACTCTCACACACACACACACACACACACACACACACACACACACACACAAACACACAACACACACACAAACACACACACACACCTGCGTGAGTAAGAGGGTACAGTGTCCTGCCCTGCTTGTACATCATCTCTCCTAACAGACAGTCTCACCTTGAATTATTCACTTCAATACTCCACTTAGTCTTTTGCTCACTGTGCAAAACAATCTTTTCATTTTCTTTCTTCTACTTTTCTTTTTCAACTTAATTCTCCCTACCCGATCTCCCTCTGGTACGACCATTGAGGTTCAAGCGAGGCCTCTGGTTGGCCAAGCTTAACGGGCCCCATTACAGCACTCCATTATTCACCCAGTGTCTGGAGACATGTGGATTTTGTAGAAAACAAACAAACAAACAAAAACATCTGAGCGTGCAAGGACTTATATATACTCACAAGGAGAGCAGCCAGGATCGCCTGTAGTGATGTCAAACGTTGGGCCAGTCCCACCAGTCGAAGTAGATGCCCTCTTGCGTCTCCAGTCAAAATTGTCAGATTTTGACTGAGAGTAGCCGTTCCAAGTCGTGGTGAATTCCGCCAAGCTGAGAACGTTTGAAGCAGAACATCCTGGGTTCAAACACGCACGGAAAAGCATAATCGAGATTCGGATGTTAGTGTTTGGTAGACTGTCTGACTTTTAACCGCCCGACGTGTGGACCAAACAAACGCTGACAGTGCACCGGTTTGCTGATCATGTGGAGCGGTACGGTAACGTCTTACAATTATATCGCTGCCGCTTGTTACGATTTTTCGGAAACGCTCCGATCTTTACAAGTGGTTCCCAACGTACTTCAGAATGGATCAACACACCCGTGCTCCGAACAATGTCTGTACTAAGCAACAGTGTGTCTTATCACTGTCTACTCAGTACAACAGGCAGTTAGTACAGTAGCGCACGGTGACATCTGAGCCGAAGTGCAAAGCTGGCAAACCTGGACCAGTTCTGATTACGTTACTGTATTTGTATGAGTGCACGCCCAGCAACATTCGTGCCACGTCCAGGGCGTCAAGGGCCGTGCAAGATGAGGGGGCCAAATACGCACTCTGGATCGTTTATTGCCGAGCGCAACTGTCATTAACGCAACTTAGTGTATTCACCATTTACTACCGGCAGGTGTACCTTGAGACAACATCGTCCTTACTTCTTCCGGAAACAACACCTTCATGACTTGAGTCAAGCTATCAGGTCTTTAGCATCCAGCTGCGAGGTATCGAGGAGTGAGTACACCGAGCGAGACTCAAAGCCGTCAATTCCTTTTGTGTGAAAGCATACCTGCATGTACTTTAAACGAATATCGTGATCCATTCACTGTCTTGGAGAGTTTTTCAAGCATAGGAGCTCCTTAACCCTTTCCCTGCCAAGCCTTGATCCGGGGTGCTGGCCACGTCGTGGTGAACGCAAACTCAAAATGCACTCCCCTGCATGCCCAGTCTCAGAACTAAATTTATTTCATTGTCACTTCACAATGACGGATTTTCACAATCTACGGCTCGTTGGAAAGATCTGGATATGACGAAGACACCATAATAGTTTGCAGATCAAAAGACACGCCAGGAAGACTGCAAAATTCTCTCCAAGTCCCCCTACCATGCCTCAAAGTTGTGAAACAACATCTCGCATTTTCTATCGTCTCCTTACTCACACTCAAAGGATTGTCACGATTCGAACTGCAAAGGAAAGCAAAGATTCAAGCGCTTCTTTTGATACTCAATACTCATGCGTTGCTCTAAGGGTAAATCCCCAGCATACACGAAGTGACGAGCAAAAAGTTAGTCGATCGCCGGCAGATGAAATTTCGCAATTTCCAGCTGTTCGCATCGTCAGCGCTCTGCCATACATTGGCCTATCGCGAAGATCGGTGCATCAGTGGAAAGCTGAGTCCAATACCTTTCTAACGATGCATCATTCATGAGAATCCCTTGCCGTTTGAGTGAGTTACGAAAGTTTGAACACTCGTCTTGTGTAGTGCACACTGTACACTTTGGGTGCATCGCGTATACTCGACGCTGGCCATCCAGAGTACATTCGTATACTCGACGCTGGCCATCCAGAGTACATTCGTATACGCGACGCTGGCGTGCACAGGATTAAAATCCAGATGATTGTCTGATTTATAGAAAACGAAAAAAGGACCAAGGAACTACAAGTTACGCTATAATGTCCAGTAACACGACCGACTAAACTTGCGTAACATGTAGTTTCTTTGTCCTTTGACTTTCCTATAAATATATTCTTGGCTTTCCATCCGAGTCGATTATCTCATTATCAAAGAGGGAAAACGTTTTTGAGTCTGTTAAAATATCCATAATATCATTCATTGCTTCGTCATTGTATCAGATTGGCATCAGGTGTATCGTTTGAAATTATTTCGCATAAAAAAATCGCAAAGTTGTGTTTCCGGAGGAAGTGTTACGGGTGAAGAGCTGAGATGCAAAATGCCATAAGCGCTAAATTTGAGAAAATTAGATTTTTAGCTCTGTGTACTGAAAAGGTCCAGAGGCACCACCGGGCAAAATTTCTAATCCAAAATCTGACTACAACCGTTTCAAGACTGGATCCCAGATACTGATTTAGATACAATCCGGACATAAAATATGTCCTTTTTGGCCATTCAGTACCCGAAAAGTCATGAAATGGGTTTAGCAGGTTTTGCATCCCGGCTCTTCAAGTACATATGCTGAACAGTACCTACCTGCGCAGCAATGAACAGTGATGTCATCAATTGCTATGTCACCGGTGTTTCCAAGCAGCCTGTCCACTGTCTTTCCTTGGAAAAGTAACTGCAAGCCGCGGGAAGATACAAACATAAATAAAATAAATCCAAATCACTCGGAACATAAAAAGGAACCATGGAAAACGGCAGGGCACGAGTTACGAGTTAGAGTCCTCCAACTAAACCAGATTTTGAACAGACGGGCACAAGGTAGCACCAGACTGACAAGGAGTACTGAGACTGTTACAAATCTGGATTAGCTGGTGGACTCCAACGCATAACTTGTGTGCCACCGTTTTCCTTGTATCATTTTAAATCCAAATCCCGACTTTCGGGAGTGACTCATTTCCCGTATGTCACATGACTGTCGCCTTGGAGTCGACCAAGGACAGATCAAATTACGCGGGCTGGAAAGCGCGATCCTGCAAGCTGAATGGTGATGGTACTAGTTCCACTGCCCTTCGTCAAGTGACGACGGGCAGTGGACAGAATCCACTCATGAGTCTACCATTTCAATGACAAGCTTTCGGAATCCACCCATGAGTCTACCATTTCAATGACAAGCTTTTGTGGTCTGAAAGTACATGCAAAAGTCATGTACTGTAGTCCGTGTACGTTGTAGAAGTCACTCTCACTCAGCTCACAGCCTCATAGCCACACAGCTGTACAGGACTCGAGTCACAGTTCATGTAAACTCAAATATTGTGAGTGGTCTTCTTGGCTTGGGTGCATACGGGAAACACGTTCCAGTCACTCATACTCGGCCAGTACCGCTGCTCATCCAGCCCTTGCCGCTATCGCGGCCGGGCTGGATTCCGCGGTACTGTCCTCGTACTCGTGCAGGAACCTGTACTTCCAGAAAATTACACCAGGGCACACTGCTGCTATATTCCTGAAGTTGCACTATCATGATGCTACACAGGGGAAGAGCAGCTTTATGAATTTCTCTGACCCTCACTATTGAACGATCACCTGTCACACAGAGGCTATGCGATTACATTATCAGTTGAAACGCTTTGGCAAAATCACGGCACACCGATACAACGGCTCAAGTGCATCGACGGACCCGGAATGCGGATCCGTTGAAAAGCGCTGTGTACATAGCGGCAACAAGCGGTTTCACCGGCTCATCGCAATGACATTATTCCACTACCTTCCATAATGTATGTTTGGCTATACTCTGTGTACTGTACAAGCAGCAATATTCGTCTGGAAATTAATTTCCTCTTTTTCGCCCAAGGAGCCTTCGGACTAAATTAAATGCCGGACTAATGTCGATTTGTCCAGCTTTTCAATACACTCTTATGATCCATGGACAAAATCTACAACCGGACGATTTCCCTTTCTTCGGAGTTGGCCGAAATCATTGACCTACGAAACTTTCTGCCTGTACAGAACTTCTACATATCGAGCACTGTACGAACTACACAGGTGTGGCACCATGACAACACCCCCATCATTGGTCTCCTGCAGTGGGAACACAAACGGGTGAGGGCTTCATGACTTACGTAAAAATTCTTCGCGTTGCTTCGCTTTAGCCTTGCAATCCCTAGCCTCCAGCTGGTGGACGTGCACTGGCTTCCAGAACGTTGCCACAACAAGCTGTTAGTGGTTGCTCCCTGATCGCGAAGATACACGGATAGGCTGCCTGTTGGTATCAAAAGGAAACACGGGAAATCCAAGTGAATCGAACGGATCAACTGCAGGTCTAACTCCTGAAGTCGGTGAAGTCCTGGGAAACGGATAATGTTAGCCACAAGCAATGCTTGTGTTCTAGTGATTCAGACCAGTGCAAACAGTGTACTGTTTGCATACTCCATCTAGCTCGAATTTGTGAATTTCAAAGTTTGCTGGCAAGTATCGTTTGTATTGCTCGTTTAACAGTGAGGAAGTTGACGTCCTGCCCATGTTCAACATTGCTCATTTCACGCACTCGGCATCATGTTCTCTAGTGAGTGCTTGAGTTTGCTGAGAAACTACCGGACCTACTCTGGCATGTGACGTAGTTGCTTAGCTATGCGCTATGAAGTACTCAAATTGGCATGCACTACAAATGCACCACGCAGGGTAATAGGCGTATACATTCGCCATAAACATATACGAGTGTGTGGATGTACTTATCGTACATTCCGGGGTTTAAGCATGACCAGTAATTCTTCGAAAACACCCTCTGTGCTGCATATACTAAGATGGTCAAATTAGCAGTGGTAAATGGGGTATATTATGTCTGTATTTCGTGACTGAAATATGGGTGCAGCTTTTACTCCAGTGTGATTTTTACTCTGGAAAACACTCTTGATCATACAACCTGGTCTGGCCATTCTACTGTTCACTGCTGACAGATGATGCAAACCTGCTCCTGTCTAACAGGTTCAGGGAAGACGTGAGCTGTGTGTATTTATTATCATTATTATTCTACACTCGCAGGGGCGTAGCAGTCGGTCCGGCCGGTCCGGCTTGGGCCGGACCACTTTATCGCCCAGAAGTGCCGAGAATGCAGGATTTTGCACCCAAATTTCAAAAATGTCCCTGGGGACACCCCCAGACCCCCATCCAACTGGACCACCTCCAACAGCGGTGCTACGTGCCTAACTCGGCCCTACCTATGTTGAGGCCTCGCATGTTGTACCAGAACTGCAGGTAGCACTCCTGTTCCAGGTCGGTGGACATGAGCAGTGGCGATTGGAGGGTTGCCGTATCATCCTTCTTTCCGGTGTTGTCCTCGATATAGAAATAGTGTCCTGCCCAGAGCACAATACGCAAGATCGTTGACATAGTAAAGGATTTAATTTTCGAATCGAGTACGACATACAGTATAATTTGAAACTCGGGTATTGAGCCAATAATAAAAGTAGAAAGGAAAAGGACATATGGAAACGAGTTAAGAGTAACTCTCCACCACTGTAACTAGATACTGTCGGTTAGCGCTACGGAGATGTGTTGAAGCTAGGTGTCAGGACGTCGAATGTCTCAGTACTCTGTTAGTTTTGTGCCTAGTTGTTGCACTTTCTGGCTGTATATAGTATCTAGTTACAGTGGCGGAGAGTTACTCTTAACTCGTTTCCATGTGTCCTTTTCCTTTCTACATACAGTATTGCAGGAAATTTTCGGACGGAATTTATTTTCGTACAATTTCGTACATGGCCTCTTTTGTACTGAAATAAGTTCTGTACTAAACTTTGTTCATGTGAAATTATGTACACTATGCCATAGTATACATGCGTACTGCTTGCGAACACGTGCATTTTAATAGCATGCAGCACTGTGCGAAAATAACATCCGCACGAAAGGTCGAAATTCAGCTTTGTCCGAAAATATTTCCGTCCGAAAATGTCCTGCTATACAGGAACACTTTTTTTTCCAAATCCTTCTCAAAAGATCATGGTGCCCTTTATATACGAGAGGGGACCAGTCACACAGAAACCAGGCATGAATACAGAAGGACGCTGATTATGCAAATGCCAGCTCTACGAACAGGCTGTTATTCAAAATTCCTGCATGTGGGCAAGTGAACCAAGTTTTGCAGGATGCATAGCAGCATAAATATCATGATAATTTTATCTCCATTGGAAATTCCAATGGGTACGCCTCTGAGACACCTTTATGATACTGGCAAAGGAGACCAACAGATAGTGAAAGCTGTTGAGATTGTGCATGCTTTTCAATGGCGCGTATCTCTTAAATTTGCGAAACCAACACACTTCTAGTCAGAATTCCTTCGGTGCAGCCCTGCAGCGGGACTGGTGTTGGTGGGGGGAGGCAGGTTGAGGAGTGTGTGTGTGTGTGTGTGTGTGTGTGTGTGGTGGTGGGGGGGGGGGGGGGAGTAGAAGGAGTGGGCATGATGTTGGGGAGTAAATGTGTGGGTGAATGGTGTGGGGGGGGGGGAAAGAATAAGGGTATCATGTTGGGGAGTGAATGTGTGTTTGTGTGTGTTTGCATGTGTGCATTTGTATGTGTGTAAAGGGGATGCGTGTGGTGAGTGTGTGTGTGTGTGTGTGTGTGTGTGTGTGTGTGTGTGTTTGTATGTGTCTCCTATCGGTCTCAAGCGTGTTGTGTACGGAGTCACTGTGTTGGCAGTACTCCTCTATGGTGCTGAGAACTGGACACCGAGGCAATGGGATCTCCAGCGTCTGGAGTCGTTTCACCTGCGATCTATACGCATGGTCCTGGGCATCAGTCGGGCGCGCCAGATGGACGAGCACGTGACAACCCTTCAGGTACGGCAGTGGTGGGGTGACATGGAGCAGGTCTCTGACAAGGTCCGGCGCCGTCGTCTCCAATGGCTGGGCCACCTGGCTCGCATGGATGACCGTATTCCCCGCCAATTGCTCTTTGGTGCCTTGCCGTCTAAACGACCTCCACATGGCCCCCGGAAGAGGTGGAAAGACCCAATCAAACATGACCTGACGGCGGTGTCCATTGGCATGAATGAGTGGCTTGAAACAGCAGATGATAGGTCTGAGTGGAGAACCAGGTGTCAGGATGGAGTCTACAGTGTGGTATGCTCTCGTGTACAACCTGCCCTGAAACCACTCCTGTGTATGGTCTGCACACGCCGTTTCAGCCGTCCTCAAGACATCGCTAGACATAGTTGCACCTCCCGTCGCTCCGCAAAGGAAAAAAACAAACAGTGAAACAGCCGTTCACGTCCCGCCGGACTCGCAGGGCCTCATGCCGCGTCCCGGAGACAGCACTCCTCACACATAGCCAATCGTGGCAGTGGGCGAAGGAAGGAAGGAAGGAAGGATGTGTGTGTGTGTGTGTGTTGGGGGGGGGGGGGGGGGGGTGATGATGCGAGCTTGGGACGTGGCTTCTAATTGCCTCTCTTCTGTATCAACGTCTTACGCAGACTACCCATATCACTGTCCACTGGCAGTGAGAGTTATAATTGATCAAAAGCGTACTAAAAAACTGGAAAATTCGGTGGAGATTTACTTTCGGTAACTTGGTACAGGTAATTTTTACCTATAATAAAACACGACCTAAAATTCAACAATGCCAGGCCACACAGTGTGCAAAATGCATTTTTGGACCGGGGAAAATTGCTTTACCGAAATTATCGCACTACTGACCCGTTGATTTTGCGAAATACTGAAAATATCACACCACTGAAATTTTCCGGATTTAGTGTACTCTGCTGCAAAACATAAGTCAGAGTCAACACTAATCACTTACCACTCTTGTTGCCGTACGTATGATCAGACGATGGTCCCGTATACCATGTCGGGGTTGTTGATGTTTTCCGCTTCCAGTTGAAGTCGTCGTTGGTCAGCTGTGTGTACCCGCTCAGTCCGCCTGTTCCGGACTCGAAATTTGCCGAATGCAGCAACGGGCAGGAGTCATAGCAGTCTGGAAAAAAACGTGTTAGTGCACAACATACAGAAATCTTAGTTGGAAGTGTTGTGACACATGCGGACACGAGAACATTGAGCGACGTGCAACACGTTAGGGCAGATGAAGCAGGGAAGGGTGATGACATCATGGTGGCGTATACACCACTTCTTATTCTCGATTAGAGGATAGAATCTGACGAAGGCAATACATTTGGTCGGAGCGGGTGGACATTGTTTAATTAATTAAGGCGTCGATAATCGCCGATTTCACTCCCCAGTTGTGTGGACAAGTGAAACAAAGCAGCTCAACCTCGATGACGACTACAGATTTCTTCAATGGGCATCACTGCTCACAATACAGACACCACTGTATGCCCAACCTCCACCTCCAATGCCGCTACCACAACCACCCACCACCACCATACTAGTGCAGTCAACTTGGCGACTAACGGCCGGATTTCAATGCCCAGAGCAAAGCCCCATGTAATTGGGTACATGTATCACCACAGCAACGCCACAACAACTACAAATGTTGTTGTATGAAAGTGCCAAAGACCCCCTAGCGACTACAACCTAAGGATAGACTCTGCATGGAAGACAATAATATTGTAGGGTGGATGCGGCTGGCAAGCATGCCATTTTACATAGGCGATCGGAGAAGATCGCAAATTCTGTCTGTGATGATCAGATTGGCCCGCAGACTGCCCTCTGCCACAGTGTCTTTCAGTGAGATGAGCCACTGGCCACCATTCATAGGGCTTGAAAGTGATGACGTCAAAAACGGCCAGGGAGTACTAAGTTGACATCAGATTTCTATTTTGGATCCACTAAGGTGTGACTTTGCTATTGCCTCAGTGTGTGGGTGCATAGCAACCCACTCATGTCGCATGCAGGGGTGACTTTTACTTCGCCACCAGTTGTAACCCCGCCCCCATTAGCCAAATCAGTCAGTTTCACTGGTTACATCACCTTGCTGTGAGTAAGACGGCTTGAAATGTGCTTGGATCCATACAAAAACTGGATCCAAATGGATCCAATTTTTGAATTTTTGCAATTGTTGCTATGCTGTGACGTAGCACTTTCAAGCCCTATTGGGACTGTCCATCACAATAAAAAAATGGGTTATCTGCAAAAAAATGTCTTATGATATTAGGACTACGACACATGGCGGATTGAATTTCAATGCCCTGATGGAGTCCCTACACATACTGGAGCGTAGGTGTACATGAACTAGAATAGTCATCTTTTCGCAGGCATCAACGCACCGTACATCACGGTGCTGCGCACGGCAACATATCGGTTTGTACACACTGCTACTCATTCTGACGCTAAAGTCTCCGGCAAAACTGCTGCAAATCAGTCGGCGCAATGCATTGCCGCCGAACCTTACCAGCTAAGTGCAGATGAAGTACAAGCAGAGCGCCGATGAGTTTATGAAGCATCCTCGCTGCGCCCGCTTACGGGCAGATACAGCAGCCAGTCGCGTTCTGCAAACACGTTCACGTAGACGTTTGATCATGAACGCTGGCACCGCACTTCTCCTATCTTTGAACTCCGCGGTTCTGCCGAGGTTCCTCCGACATAGGCGACCGTTCCAGTCCGGCTCTTGTCTACAACCTAGTCATTGCGATCCGAATTATCTGGAATACAGGCTGTATTTACTGCTTGAAGATGTTCTGCCTCAGACTCAATGCAGCGCTGAACAATCTTCTGGAAAATGATTCGATTGAGGATGAAATGATTTATTTGATATGCATCTTGCATATTGCATTGGCTCTTACCATGTACCATATGGCGGAGGCGGATCGAATGGGATGCTCACGATCTTTTGCTGACTAGGGTAGAGTTGACAGCACAGCTTGGAACCTGTGCGTTTTCAATTTGGATTTGCAATGAAGATCTGAAGGAAACAGGTTTCTCGACTGCAAACTTTACAATTCGTATTTACTGAACTACTACTAAGTCTTCTTTATTACTAGTAAGTAGTATGTTCGAGAAATCCTGGTCAGATGCACACGCATCACTCTGGCGAGTCGGAGTCAAGAAGCTCACGTGTTTCGCAGCGAAGGTGTCCGTGACATGGTACGGAAGGTACCGCGAGAGTACGCAGTGCACAGTGCACGGTGGATGTCGCTCCTGTCACTTTTTTTGTCTTTGTCACCTGGTCACAGTTTGTGCCTTGCACCGTCTAGACGTCGACTCGTTGTCAAAACTTGGCATGGCATGTCATGATGAGCAAAGGTACCCAATTATGGTGGTGTAGATCTGCCATGCACTTGTACTAAGTCTAAGGAGCAAGTTTTAGCAAAATGCCTACAAAGTGCTCAAGGCACAGAGTGCAGAACGTTTCAAACGAAAGGAAAAGAGGCCCAGTTTGGGTTCGTACTACTGTCGTGGACATGGAATTGCGGTCGCACGTCTAGCGGCCCCAGCGCGCTGGGCCGCTGGCCATGCAGCCGCAGCCTGTATTATTATGCGCTGCTGCTGGTCGCATAGGCCTAAAGTATAGGATCAACATGATTGTGCACAGCATGCAACGACTTACGTTCTGTACGCGCTGAGGGCGCCGGCCCCGGTCAATCGACTGGATTACCATGTCAGCGACAGTAGTACAGTGTATTACTATAACTAAATTTGTGTCCAGCTACTGCAATCATCAGACGACTGATGCTGAGACCTGAGACTAATCATTATTATATAATTATTATAATGTGTGTGATCATGCGTGATACTTGGCGGAAAAGGCCGGTATACACGGACGGATGGTGCTTCGACTGGCTACGAACTTGCTGTACTATGCCACGCTATGTGAGAAATTTCGTATGTGCATTTGCTTTCGTGGCGGCATTGTGATATTAGTTCGCTTCTTTTGTTCATGCTCTTCGGGTTCTTGGCATTGTTGAGTTTGGCGAGCTTCTCGAATCTGCAGAGGTTGCACATTTTATTGTTGGAGTACGCCTCTGTTCTTCTGTGAATGCCTGCCACCGGACGGAAATATGGCTTCCGATTCCGCACCTGCTTTGATAATCTGTTGCTGTTCTGGTACCGTTCATGGCGGAAGCTCTGTGTGTGTGGCGGGTCTTGGAATGGAGATTTGAACTTGCATTATAATTATATGAAGATGTAGGAGTCATGGGTCTAAAGGCTGGGCTCATCTTTAATACTAGTACGGTATTTGGGGTCTACTACATATGTATCTAATATAGACTGAGTACGAGGTCAATACAGGAAATAAAAGCGGAGTAAAAGACCGAGGCGAAGCCGAGGTCATTTACGAGGTCTTTTATTTCCAATACTGACCAAGTACGAAAGTCATTATTAGATTTATCACGACTAGCCAAAGCCTGTGTTCAATCGCTAAAAAGGAGTCAAATATAAGCGGTCAATATAGCCCTAAGAAGTGAAATATGCAGGAATATTTGACTGCTTAGGTATGGCAAAAATCTATGGGAGTCAATACTAAGGGAGTGATAAACCACTATAAACTCTACTCGGCTCCAGCACCAAAATAACGTTTACATGTGCATTTAAAACTGTTCATCCTCCGCCTGTATCTTTGTGTGTGTGTGTGTGTGTGTATGTGTTTATGTGTGTTTGTATGTGTGTGTGTGTGTGTGTGTGTGTGTGTGTGTTTGCCAACCTGTGGGAAGTCTACCGTCTTGCCAAAGCATTAAGTTAGACTAGTTTCGGCTCCACAATCCAGTGTGTCGTTACTACAATAGCTTTCATGGCTGAGGTGGTTGGTACGTCTGTTGACTCTGGGTTCCCAGTACTCAGTAGCGGAGGCTGGCTGGTAAAGTAATTCCAATTTCACTTCAAGGTACCAGTGCATCTAGTGTCTGCTTCTATCAAAGCAGCGTGCTGTCTATACTGGTTACCCCAGCAAGTGTAGGGTGTGCGTAGGTAACTGTCTTGGCCATTTTATGCCGATGTACTCCGTGTGGTGTAGTGGTGCATTAATGGTAGATTCACATGGCTTCGCCAGTTGTGTGGATTAGATAGTTATGTGGCGCAAGTCTTGATCTGTCTCATTCAGATCTTGTTTGCTATCGTTGCTATAAGAGAAAATATAAGGGTGCACATCCAGTGCATTTGCAAATTTGCGTGCTTCTCTTGCGACATGCGTATACATGGTACATCGTACATGGTGTGTGTGTGTGTGTGTGTGTGTGTGTGTGTGTGTGTGTGTGTTTTGTCTACAGAATATGATTAGCATATCGGGTTCTGACACAATGATCAGCTTCGTGACATCACCCTAATTTGAATCTTACCATGACGTTCTCCCGGTAAACTAGAGCCATCAGTTGCCAGTTTGGTATCATTTTCGAATATGCTGGGTGCTGGGAACGGTTACTGTTAGATTTAGCGTAAACGGGTTAAACGCTAAACCTTGTATAATGTAGTATGGAATCATCAGCCACGTGACTTGGCTGATGCTGGCGACATGCGATTCCACTACAGTACGATCGTGTGCAGTGTTGCTGAATGACATCCGACCGTGTCAACTTTTCGCTCTGCACACCTTGACATTCGCTAATACCACTGATGAATATAACATAAACATCGGTTTTGTAAAATTTTATGACTCCTTTGTTGTACGGTGGTGACGGCGGAATTTGTGCTTTTTATTGCGTAGACTCTGCTTTTGTACCGTGTCGAAATTACAGTCCAAAAAGCGCGGAAGCTCATGCAATTACTAGTCCAAAATAAACACTCATTTTCTGTACGAATATCTAACAAGTAAGAGCGATTCACCGATTCACCACTTCCGCTGCACAGCTCGCCGGACATCCCATTACTTTGTAAGTTTGGAAGTACAGTGTACAAATGTTATTATTTACATTAGACTGTTTTTACAGCCATTTTATAACATAAGGTTGTATTTTGAAACACGGATGTTGAGCCATACATAAAATTTAATGTAGAAAGGAAAAAGACATTATGGATACGAGTTAAGAGTAACTCTCCATCACTGTAACATGATACTTTATACAGTCAGAAAGTGCAATAACTAGGCACAAAACTGACAGAGTACTGATATATTCGACGTCCTAACACCTAGCTTCAACACATCTCCGTAGCGCTAACCGACAGCCTTCCAACCGAAAGCCGAAAGCCAAACTTGCATGAGGAGTACTGTAGGAGTTTGGCTTTCGGCTTGTACAATTCGTTTTCGAAATGCTTCCCATTTCTTTACTTATCTTTGATAATTATGACCCACCCAAGTTGGGTGGTGTGCTGCTTTGCTGCTTCGAATTGTAGTTAGACCGCTTTGTCAAATATCGTACTGGTCTCATCATCGTCCAGTGACAATCGACATTCTTTGTTCCGTTGGGACTGTAGCTTTTGCTCGTTTTCGTCGCGCTTTCCTTCCCCTCTTTGGTCTTTCCGTAACCTTGAACCTTCCGGGTTGGAAGGCTGTCGGTTAGTGCTACGGAGATGTGTTGAAGCTAGGTGTCAGGACGTCGAATGTCTCATTACTCTGTCAGTTTTGTGCCTAGTTATTGCACTTTCTGACTGTATAAAGTATCATGTTACAGTGATGGAGAGTTACTCGGATCCATAATGTCTTTTTCCTTTCTACATTAGACTGTTTAAATGGTGGGAGGTGAGTAGATCAGACCCACCACCAAGTGGTCAAAGACCGAAATCCCATTAGCGGCATATATGTTACCCTCGTGCCAGGCCACGAGTTCCCAATTAACTGTGGGTCGCAGCACGGCTGGAAAAATTCCTGCCGCTTCCAAGCAGGACTTGAACCTGGTACCCTCTGTTTCTCAATCATGGTCTTAGACCATCCCACTACGCATCTGCGCCTTTGGTCCTAGAGGATGGTGGCGTTCCCACAGCGGATGCCGAAAACTTGGCTTCCAGCCGAGTCTCACGCGAACCGTGAAATTTAATTTTTTTATATTTATTAGACTGTATTTACAGCCATTTTATGACATAAGACGGTATTCACAGCCATTAAAAAAATACTAATCCCTTGGCACCGTGAATTGTATTCTGTTTGCCCGTAAAAGAGGCTTAGCAGGCATTCACTGTCCGCGAGCTACACGTGTGTGAGACATTGCAGACAAAGTAGGCCTTGACAGATTATGCTAATATTTTCGTAAAATTATGCTTTTCGCATTGCTGAAAAAATTGCAGAATTATGCTATTTTAATGCTAAAAGTTATCATATTATCCCGCATTATGCTCACATATTCTGCTATTGTATATGATGGTTCTGTTCAAAATAACAGGTGAATTTGTTTGTAGAGGGCGTTGTACTGTAGTAGCAAAAGTTCAACGGGGTCAACGCACCGTCCGACCTAGCTACGACCGTCACCCTGCTCACTGATTGTAGTGGACTGGACATGTTATCAAGGGAGTCGTAAACCTACGCCTTCCTGGTGCATCTACTTGTACTTGTACTTGTAGAACATGTACAACTGTATGGAATTTGATGCGAACAGGCGGATTATTCCAATTTATGCGATTCGTATGTAATTTGCGTCGAATTATGCGATTAATCGATTTTGGTAGGAAATATGCGAAAAAAGTATGCTAGCATAATCTGTCAAGGCCTAAGACAAAGTACGACCAGACTTCTTCTGTTCTCTGCCGTCAGTAAAGCACAACGGGCTAGTTACGAACAGTTGCAGCTTCTCTCTGAATAGAAAATACACGTTATGTTCGGTGTAAGTTTAATAAGTTAAACTTGGGTAATTTGGGTAGGGAGACCAGGTACGCTGGTTGATTAAACCAGAAGTATTATCTGAATGACTTCCTGAATGATCACCTGACTGATCACATGTACACCTTAATGGCAATGGCGTATGTACTATAAAGTGCAAGGAACGCCGGTCATTTGATGCTACATTACACCTGAAACTGGGCAGGTCCCTGACACCGATTATTTACCTAACCTAAAATTACATCTTATGCGGCCGAATGTATTCTGTTGTGTGTTCTTACATTAAAGTGTCCCGCACACTCACCACTTCACGGTGTAAATATAGTGTCTATAAATACGGTGACGTGCTGGCCGTTGCCGAAACTGGGCTTGAGTATAGGCAAGGTTGAACTACATTGTGGATGCAGGTCATTAAAATGCGAGTACATGCACTGTTGCGTGGCACGAGTGCCATCCAGAGCAAACTAGAACGACATTGTACAACTGTTCTAGGCTTAAACCCGGAAGGATCTCTTATGAACTGCATTGTACATGTACATGTAGGTGATTCAATTGGCAGTACATTCACTTGTGCGTCGCACGAACGGCATCCAAAATAAGCCAGAACTGCCCGCATTGTACCACTGTTCTAGGCTTAAACCCGGAAAGATCTCGCCTCCCAGACAAGTCAGTCCCTACTTGATGTACGGCACTGTTTGGTGCCGAGCACCGTGGCGCCAACTCAACTCAACTCAACTCCACTCAACTGTGCATAGACTATTGCGGTCTACGCTACGAGGCTGACTCCCTCCCCCCCCCCCCCCCCCTAGTTCTTAAGCACCCGACAGTACATGGAGACCTACGAACTCCAATGCCACTAATGTCACTTTCATTTCATTTAGTTCGTGCTGGCTTTGAGTCGTCCACGCAATGTTTGGTTCTATTTGCTGCAGCATGCAACCATACAAAGCTCCCAGGATCATCCTCCGTGCTACAATGCTTACAACGATTGTCAAGGGTGACCTGAGGTGCATGTGAATCTCGCATGACAGTTTATTCTGCCACACACAGTTCGGGTGTCACAATTTGACAACAAGTAGCTGCTGGGAATGCAATTGCATTATGCAGTCACACGTAACATAGCCGTCTTGATCAAAGTCTCACCCAGGTCTCCGGATTCCCGGGTAGGAGCTGACAGTGGACCGCCAACCAGTCTAACGTAAAAACAAGTTCCCGTCACGTCTCGGGCAGAAAAACGACTTGTACACTCGCTACGCAAACGATGACTACTACAAGTTCCACTCCATGTACATTGCAAAGGGAGACGATGCATCCCCGTATGATAATGACCATTCAAAGCTAAGCGTAACTCAATTCCTCTTCAGTGAAGCAACCGAGCAAGCGATCGCATGAAAGCCTGCGTTTGCTTGCTTGTGAGCGGCACAATCAGAGACCATTACTTCCAGTGATAACGAGATTCGTAGAGCAGGCGGTCGCGGGATTCACCGTCGAAGATCTTCGCATTGGGTTCACGGTGAGTCCATTTCGGTCGAGACGTGTGTTGCGAATTCCCGAGTTTGAAGATGTATCATAATCATGATGTCAAATGGCGCTCCTCTCATAAAGGTGCACGAAGTAGGAAAGTATTTTCCACAATCATGACAATGTGGTTTACTCCGAGAATGTCCAAACGTAATGATCAAGCAAACGGTGGTAATCACCAGGGAGGCTCTCGTTTTTAAGCCCTATCTGAGTACGGTTTAGCGGAACGTCACTGCGTCCGTTGGCTTGGAGGGCAGAGGTGGGACTCATATGCCATGCATTTTGTACCTCCATGTAGGTATGTGGGGCAGGCATCAGCCAGTATTGCAAAGAGGTGGACATGATGTGTCAGCACCGATTATTGAGGTCTCTATTTCGTAGAGTTTCACGCAAGTGCAGGGTGTCTGCACTGTGAGCGCACTGAGCATGGTCGGATTTACCGCAGAGAATAACTCTGTTGCGAGGCTGGTACAGTATATTATTACACCACGGCTCGCTGCTCCCGTCTAGCTCACGTTTGATCAGATTCTGACGGTTTCGCGTCACGTGATCCAAACACGAGCCATGCAGTGAGCAAATCCAGACTTGGGATTTCGGGGGCAGGTCAGCGTGTCCGCGAGCTCTGCCGTGAGCTGGCAACCGTGATGCGAGACGCGAGCAGCTTGCCATAATGCAATGACGGCTTTACCAATGTTGTTACAATATCACGCCCACCGGTATACCTGACACTCTGAGTGACTAAAAGAAATTCCTAGCTTTCCATTGAAGATTCGCAGACACGGAGCAACAAGTAATTACGTGAAACGTTTTCTCGTGGCTATCATCAAGAACGATTCACCACAAGGAATTGCAAGTAAGCCAACACATGGAAAATAATATTGTCAAGAAAGGGGGGACATTCAATTAATTTTAGCAACACAGCAAGGAGGGAAAATGTTTTTACATACGTCAACACGATGTAAGGGGAAAAGAAGGTGCAGGGTTTGAAAGTTACAGGTGGTAGTTGCAAAGTGTGAGCGCAGTGACGCGTTCATTCTCAATGCATAAATCTCAGTAACGTTTGTTTATGAAGATAGCTTCTAAAACATGAAGTTGACGGAGACTGCTGGCGTAACACACAATACAGGAGGATCAGTCATCATAAACAACACGGCCCTGGGGGCAAGACAAGCGCTGACTTACGAGAATCTATACCGACATTATGATCCGTACAAGGCTCCACAGCTTCATCACTCTCACCTTCTCTACTGACATATCATGTTTTCCATTGCTTCTCTTTGCCATTCAGACTCTCAAGGTCTAGACCAGCGACGCGACTCCTCCCTAGTGGATGTGCCCTGGTCCATTATGGACAATCCTCTAAAGGTATTGTTGCAAATAAATGGCTCCATGAGCGGGATGCGAACCCAGCGGGATTCGAACCCAGCGGGATTCGAACCCAGCGGGATTCGAACCTCTTGTCTTTCCGGGACAGTGCCCTGCCGATGAGGCTACCGGGGATCACACACACACACACACACTAGTGGGTCCTTCTTCCCACACTGATCCCCCCCCCCCCCCCCCAACAGGCTGTGTCCTCACGCCGTAGATCTACCTACTCCCATGAACCTGGGTGTGCCGTGGGCATGTCATTCATGTATCTTTGGTGGGTCTGTGTTTGCACAGGAGTCACGTTTTCTCGTCATCAGGATGCTTGTTCTCCTGCTCATCCTAGCAGTCTGCACCACTGCACAGCAATGCCCAGCAAGGTGTAGCTGTTCTGCGACGACTGCGTGGTGCTACCTGAAAGGTTTAACGACGGCACCGACTGGCTATCCGTTGACCACACAATATGTGTAAGATATCCAGGCTCTTATTCGTTCACATGCGCATGCATGTGTTTTTATGCTGCACCAAAGCAGGCCATACGGTATATCGCCATGATCGACAATGGCTTGCTCTTTTTTAAATCTTTGTGAAGGAAACTAAATGGCCCTCAAAATATCTTCAGACTTCGTAACTCACACTTCCTGTGAATCCACACAGGCGGATGGGACGCAGCCCTCACTGTAACCCACACACTTCACGAACAAACTAGCACGCGGGGGAGCCCCAAGTCATAAAATATTACTGGTGTGAGGGAAAGAGACAAACGGGAAAAGGCTGAAGAAAAAATTGACTGTCACCACCAGGACTCGAATCAGGGACCTTCGCTTGTAGCCAGCGATGCTCTAACCACTAGGCTATGGTGTAGTCTTCATCCCAGCAGAGGCCGTTCAACATTTTCTTCAGACTTCGTAACTCACACTTCCTGTGAATCCACACAGGCGGTTATTATTATTATTATTATTATTATTATTATTATTATTATTATTATGGAGTTGGCTTTATTTCACTCACGTTGTCATGACATGAGGTAAGAACCCCATCACCGGGCCAAAAGAGACCAAGGGTAATGAGAGAGAATAAAAAAAGGATAAATGGCGAACGCAATGAAGACCGAAGCAAAAAGGATTGTAAAAACCAAAGCAAAAATATTGAAAGCCGACGCAGAAACTGAGAGACGGAAAGAAATAAGCAGTACGATGGAGGATGCCAGGACATATTCGAATACAAAAAGATGGAGGAGGACAGGACATATTCGAATACAAAAAGAGTAATCACAAAAATGGACTACCAGTACAGGAATAGACCTGTAGTGTAGAAATAGAGGAAGAGATGAATGCCGGACATACTCAAATGGCAAGAGAAAAATCAGGCTGTGAGAACCGTCATACTGCACATTCATGGATGTCAAAGCAAATGCGGTATTGGAGGTTTATACAGACTAGCTCTACCCGTAACATGAGGAGCCTAATGCCGAATGCCAAGAACCGACTTGATGATGTTCAGCGTGCCCAGGATAGCACATTGCTGAGCCCTTTCAATGCGCAGAGTGCCTGCCAATGCCAACACAAAGTGTGACAGGGACACACCAGTCAGTCCACCAAGCGCCCCAACAACCAGGGGCACAACGCGGACATCATCCACATGCCAGATGCGCCGCAGCTCTTGGCAAAGGGGAGCGTACTTTGTTATTTTTTCGGCGATTTTTGTGGGCACATTCTGGTCCAGTGGAACACTGACATCCATCAGCAGCACCTGTGTGCTGGACCGCAACACCAGGTCTGGGCGGTTGTGGCGCACTTGCGTATCCGTTGGGATATTGAACTCCCACAGGAGCTTCATGTCAGGATTTTCCGTGACAGGCACAAGATGATGCTTCAGCGGGTTGCTTCCCGGCTGACCCAGACCATGCCGCTTGCATAGTGCCCAATGCACCAACTTGACGAGCGTGTCATGCCGTTCGATATACAGTGTTTTGGCTAGGGCTGGGCAACAGGCCACAATGTGATCAACTGTATATTATTATTATTATTATTATTATTATTATTATTATTATTATTATTATTATTATTATTATTATTATTATTATTATTATTATTATTATTATTATTATTATTATTATTATTATTATTATTATTATTATTATTATTATTTGAAACTCGGATGTTGAGCCATAAATAAATGTAAAAGAGAAAAGGACACATGGTTACGAGTTAAGAGTAACTCTCCATCACTGTAACATGATACTATATACAGTCGGTTAGCGCTACGGAGATGTGTTGAAGTTAGGTGTCAGGACGTCGAATGTCTCAGTACTCTGTCAGTTTTGTGCCTAGTTATTGCACTTTCTGACTGTATATAGTATCATGTTACAGTGATGGAGAGTTACTCTTAACTCGTAACCATGTGTCCTTTTCTCTTTTACATTATTATTATTATTATTATTATTTTGGAAAGGATGGGAGAACTTCAAATTCAAAGGATCAGTCGGGGAAGTGAACTGCCTGAAAAGAGAAAAAAACGCCAGACCCACCAGGACTCGAACCTGGGACCCTGCTTGTCATGAGCAATGCTCTTTAACCACTGAGCTATGGGACCTATTGGAGTGAAAAACTTGTCAGCGCCTTCTAGGTTCAGCCTGGTCCCATAGCTCAGTGGTTAAAGAGCATTGCTCATGACAAGCAGGGTCCCAGGTTCGAGTCCTGGTGGGTCTGGCGTTTTTTTCTCTTTTCAGGCAGTTCACTTCCCCGACTGATCCTTTGAATTTGAAGTTCAGCCCTCACCATCGTCTACACGGATTTCAAAAGCGTCGACCTCCATTTTGAAAACATGGTGGCTGGCCGCGCTACCAGTAGGCGCACGTGCCCACCGCGTGTCTCAGTGCGAGCTTCGAGCTCACGAGCTAAAGATCATGTCGCCCACTCATTTTCCTGTGTTTCCCCATTTCTTCGAACTCGCTCAGCTTTTGCTTCAGGTTTTGCTTCGCTCGTGCTTCAGCTCCACGCTGTAGTCTGAGTTTAGTTCTCTTGTCTTCTTCCAGCAGAATACTGCAAACTCTACAGCACGTCGAGCTCCTCCTAGAAGAGTTTATTTTGCGTCGAGGCAGACTGTCGATCGTTTCAGTCCTATCTTGCCGTCGTCTCATGAGCGCCCCGGAAAGCAACAGTATCTATTTTCTTGTCGTTCCATTTTCTGGCGAACTCATTCACCTACTACTTCTTCCTTTATGAAAGCTTCAGGTGGCTGAGTTCTCCCACTAGCGACAATCATGCCTTGGAAATGAACAGGATATTCCTAAGGTATATACAGCCAGTGCAGTGATGTCAGTGTACTGCGCGTACTAGTAGTTGTTTGTTTTGTCGAGAAAGAATCCCTTTCGCACTCGCGCGGGCCGCGAGGGCGCAGCACGGAAACAGGTCTATTGAATTCATTTCTTGGTCGATTTCGACAACCAATACGTCGTTGTTTTTCTTTTTTCACTGGCTATCCTTTCTCCGCTTCCGAATTGCGATGCCGTCCACCTGGAAAGCCTTGAATTGAAACGAGTGGAGGCCGGTTTCGGAGGTAATTTTCGGCCAAACGGCAATCAAATCGAAAAATTCGAAGCGGACGATCTGTTGGTATCTATCGAAAGAAGACGTTGGCCCATAAAAAATCTTTGGAAACTACACCGTATGAACCAAGGAATTACGGTAAGTTCGAGAATTTTGGTACATTAGCTGTACGCTGATTGGTCGATTTGCGCGACCGTTGAGAAACGGGCCAGTGACGCTTTGTACAGCGTTGGTGAGGGCTGAAGTTCTCCCATCCTTTCCAAATTTAATCACTTTCTTTCACCTCTGGTAGTTTCCAGAAACTGACCGTGGTTGGTCCCCTGGGGGAGGGAAAAAGACCCAAGTGCCATCAGTATGTGTGGCACGTGTTGTGAGCTGCCTTTGGAGTGAAAAACTTGTCAGCGCCTTCTAGGTTCAGCCTGGTCCCATAGCTCAGTGGTTAAAGAGCATTGCTCATGACAAGCAGGGTCCCAGGTTCGAGTCCTGGTGGGTCTGGCGTTTTTTTCTCTTTTCAGGCAGTTCACTTCCCCGACTGATCCTTTGAATTTGAAGTTCTCCCATCCTTTCCAAATTTAATCACTTTCTTTCACCTCTGGTAGTTTCCAGAAACTGACCGTGGTTGGTCCCCTGGGGGAGGGAAAAAGACCCAAGTGCCATCAGTATGTGTGGCACGTGTTGTGAGCTGCCTTTGGAGTGAAAAACTTGTCAGCGCCTTCTAGGTTCAGCCTGGTCCCATAGCTCAGTGGTTAAAGAGCATTGCTCATGACAAGCAGGGTCCCAGGTTCGAGTCCTGGTGGGTCTGGCGTTTTTTTCTCTTTTCAGGCAGTTCACTTCCCCGACTGATCCTTTGAATTTGAAGTTCTCCCATCCTTTCCAAATTTAATCACTTTCTTTCACCTCTGGTAGTTTCCAGAAACTGACCGTGGTTGGTCCCCTGGGGGAGGGAAAAAGACCCAAGTGCCATCAGTATGTGTGGCACGTGTTGTGAGCTGCCTTTGGAGTGAAAAACTTGTCAGCGCCTTCTAGGTTTAGCCTGGTCCCATAGCTCAGTGGTTAAAGAGCATTGCTCATGACAAGCAGGGTCCCAGGTTCGAGTCCTGGTGGGTCTGGCGTTTTTTTCTCTTTTCAGGCAGTTCACTTCCCCGACTGATCCTTTGAATTATTATTATTATTATTATTATTATTGTCCTGGTGGTGACGGTCAATTTTTTCTTCAGACTTTTCCCGTTTGTCTCTTTCCCTCAAACCAGTTAAAATTATTATTATTATTATTATTATTATTATTATTCATCAGGAATCGTCGTTGTACTAAAGAACAAAAATTGAACTTTTATAGAAAATCTAAGTTAGAGAAATAACACTAAGAGCAACAACAGTGAAATTTACAAGTGTGAATTTTTTAAACAATCAAAGCGAGAACTGAACAAAGGAGAAAGGAAGGAAAGACAACGTGATAACACATAACAGCAGTACATTACACCTAGAACATTAACGGCCAAGCTTGGCCGTTATTTTATTATTATTATTATTATTCAAATAATCTACGTGGAGATAAAAGTTTAACAATAGCTATGAAAAGTATGAATGCCGCAGACATCACCACGCAACATGACAATTTGTTCAAGGTTTGGTTTTGTGTGTTTCCAAAATCGATTTTCACGTTCCGATCATCAGTGGAATTACGGAACTAAAGAGATCAAGGGAAAAACAAAGGTTAAAAATCCAAAGAAGTGTGACACATGACGGGTAACTTGTGGTAAGTATTACAAAAAGTGAGAACTAAAATAAAGAGTAAGTGTGACAAACGGGCATGAACAGTGCAGAAACAACTCATGAACACGGGGTGCAAACTCACGAAAATAACCTAAGTGCTAAACATGTTCTTTTTGCTAACACAAATCGGGCTTATGCGTACGAATACAAACAGCTTCAAGGACCTTCAACTGCTGGACATAACGGGCACGACACAGTACACTTCTTTGGATTTTTAACCTTTGTTTTTCCCTTGATCTGATTAGTTCCGTATTTCCACTGATGATCGGAACGTGAAAATCGATTTTGGAAACACACAAAACCAAACCTTGAACAAAATGTCATTTTGCTCGGTGATGTCTGCAGCATTCATACTTTTCATAGCTATTATTATTAAGAAAGGGTTTGCTCCCCACACCGGAGCTCGCGCTATTCCGCCGACTTTACTTGACTGACTCACGACTGCCATCCAGAGCACACGAGACGTACATCGCACCTTCAACTCGGCAAACCTGCAAGAAAGCACCACTCCCTGCTCAATACACAGTGTTTCGTGTCGCTCCTGGACGGTGAGACAGACGTCGAGGACCCTCTACTCTGACACTAGTTGGTTTGGAGGTGACAGCGTTGCGAATGACCGAGGGTCCTCGACGTCTGTCTCACCGTCCAGGAGCGACACTGTTTTACGCTGCTATCTGGTGTTCACGAGGTGTTTGTCGCGCTGGAAACGGAGCGTCTCTGTAAGTTTGTATCCCTGGTGATGTTTGTGCCTGGAGAGCACTATATAAGTGGTGCTCTTCAGGCACAATCTTCCTCACCCTACTCAAGCTCAACTGATGAGGGGTGAATTCCCCGAAACACTGTGTATTGAGCAGGGAGTGGTGCTTTCTTGCAGGTTTGCCGAGTCGAAGGTTCGATGTACTTCTCGTGTGCTCTGGATGGCAGTCGTGAGTCAGTCAAGTGTCAAGTAAAGTCGGCGGAATAGCGCGAGCTCCGGTGTGGGGAGCAAACCCTTTCTTACAAGTCATCGCCGAAGTCGCAACCACTACTTCGAGCTATTATTATCATTATTATTATTAGCAAAAAAAAAAAAAAAAAAAGTGAGAACGAATGATAATAATAACAATAATAAACAAGAAGGTGACAAAACACATTTAGGCACAAGGGGCAACAACGTTGCCACACTACACAACAGAACATTATTTGAACAATTTTAGGGTAATAACACTATCTTTCTGGACACACAAATTCGGCTTATGAATGCGCTGACAAACAGCTTCCAAAACTTGTAACTGCAAAAGATAACCATGACGAGCACGGCACAAAACAGAAAAACAGGAATCAGAATAAGTACGACAACAGTCAGCACTAGAAACCAAATGATTGTATACTGAAGACTTGTTATTACGAGACGGACGCACACAATCTCGACTCACGCGCACACCCTCACACTCACTCTCACCCTCACTCAGCTCACCTTCTCCCTCACTGTCCGAATCAGAACCTTCTCCGTCATCCACCGCGGTTTGCCCCTCCTCCTCACTTGCATCGTCCTGCGTCTCACCTTCACCACCCACGCCAACCCTGAATGGCGTTGCCTTCACATCAGTCGTCGTCCTTTCCGATTGTTTCCTTTGTATTTTTACCGTGAATTCATAGGTCCGGTTGTAATCTGCTGTAGATCTCCGTGGTCTGTCATTTGCTGCTTTGTTTTGTGGATTAGTTGTTGTTGTTGTTGGATGTGAACCTGGTGTTGTTGTTGGATGTGAAGCTGGTGTTGTTGTTGCAGCCATGGTTGTTGGTCTTTCTGTTGAATGCAGCTCTGGTTCCGGTGGGACGAATCGACCGCCGCGGGTGCTCCCCACCCCACGTTGGTGGGGAGCACCCGCGAGCACCCGCGGCGGTCGATTCGTCCCACCGGAACCAGAGCTGCATTCAACAGAAAGACCAACAACCATGGCTGCAACAACAACACCAGCTTCACATCCAACAACAACACCAGGTTCACATCCAACAACAACAACAACTAATCCACAAAACAAAGCAGCAAATGACAGACCACGGAGATCTACAGCAGATTACAACCGGACCTATGAATTCACGGTAAAAAATACAAAGGAAACAATCGGAAAGGACGACGACTGACGTGAAGGCAACGGCATTCAGGGTTGGCGTGGGTGGTGAAGGTGAGACGCAGGACGATGCAAGTGAGGCGGAGGGGCAAACCGCGGTGGATGACGGAGAAGGTTCTGATTCGGACAGTGAGGGAGAAGGTGAGCTGAGTGAGGGTGAGAGTGAGTGTGAGGGTGTGCGCGTGAGTCGAGATTGTGTGCGTCCGTCTCGTAATAACAAGTCTTCAGTATACAATCATTTTGGTTTCTAGTACTGACTGTTGTCGTACTTATTCTGAATCCTGTTTTTCTGTTTTGTGCCGTGCTCGTCATGGTTCTCTTTTGCAGTTACAAGTTTTGGAAGCTGTTTGTCAGCGCATTCATAAGCCGAATTTGTGTGTCCAGAAAGATAGTGTTATTACCCTAAAATTGTTCAAATAATGTTCTGTTGTGTAGTGTGGCAACGTTGTTGCCCCTTGTGCCTAAATGTGTTTTGTCACCTTCTTGTTTATTATTGTTATTATTATCATTCGTTCTCACTTTTTTTTTTTTTTTTTTTTTTTTTTTTTTTTTTTTTTGCTGATACACATTATTATTAAGTTGATTGTTCCAACTAGGAACACACGCTTCTTGCCGAACTTGACACTTGACTGACTCACGACTGCCATCCGGAGCACACGAGGAGCACGTCGCACCTTCCACTCGGCAAACCTGCAAGAAAGCACCACTCCCTGCTCAATACACGGTGTTTCGTGGAATTCACCCCTCATCAGTTGAGCTTGAGTAGGCTGAGGAAGATTGTGCCTGAAAAGCACCACTTATATACTGCTCTCCAGGCCAAACCATCACCAGGGATACAAACTTACAGAGACGCTTTGTTTCCAGCGCGACAAGCACCTCGTGAAGCTCCAGGTAGCAGCGTGAGTCAGAGTCGCTCATGGAGTTGTGATAAACAGACGTTGAGAGCCAGTATAGCTATTCGCAACGCTGTCACCTCCAACAACTAGTCGCACGTCTGTAGGTTTGTATCCCTGGTGATGGTTTGGCCTGGAGAGCAGTATATAAGTGGTGCTTTTCAGGCACAATCTTCCTCAGCCTACTCAAGCTCAACTGATGAGGGGTGAATTCCACGAAACACCGTGTATTGAGCAGGGAGTGGTGCTTTCTTGCAGGTTTGCCGAGTGGAAGGTGCGACGTGCTCCTCGTGTGCTCCGGATGGCAGTCGTGAGTCAGTCAAGTGTCAAGTTCGGCAAGAAGCGTGTGTTCCTAGTTGGAACAATCAACTTCATGACTATTACCGCCGAAGTCGCAACTTCTAAGTTCACATTATTATTATTATTATTATTAACTGGTTTGAGGGAAAGAGACAAACGGTAAAAGTCTGAAGAAAAAATTGACTGCCACCACCAGGACTCGAACTCGACTCTATTTCGCACCCTCACGACGAGCAGTGCCAAACAACTGTAAAGACAATACATTCTCCTTCTGAACACAAAGTTCAGAGTCTAACTTACGTATCTACAAAGCTTCCAATACGGCAAGATGTAACAAAGACCTACCACGCGACAAAACAGAGAATACATCATTGAAATACCACTCACGACAACTAGGACTGGCCGATAGGTGATACAGGTGGAATCCTGATAATTATAATATGGCTTAATTCGAACATACGGCTTAATTAGAAGTTTTTCCAGGACCGATTTCTGTCATACGCTTCCCACAAAAAAATTCTGATAATTCAAACCTCGAACCGGACACGTCCGGTTAATTCGAAATCCCACGGATTCCACTTACATAGAAAATTTGTGGGATTTGTGCTGATAATTCGAAGTTAGCGAAGTGTAATTCGAAGTTCACTTTACACTGTACTGGTCAGTTCAGTTTGCATGAGCAGGCTGTGCTGGTCAATTCAGTATCCGTGAAATCTGTGTCTAAGGTCCATAGCACCACTCTGCGTGCCTATGGGAGCATTTTGACATACATATTGTGTTGTGGGTCAGTCATGTTTGGACAATTAAAAGTTTTTTTCCTGGCATTTGGTGACTCGAATTATCAGGATTCCACCTGTACTTGATTGCCGATGTTATTATTAGTTTTATTATGTCGACAAATAGGAAATGTTTACAGCCTAAGTAGTCCGCCTTGTGTGTGTACAAAAGCATTTGGCTATGCCATTCTCTTATTTTGTTTCTATCCAGGAATTTACGTAGGAATTCTATCACCTCCTTGAATGGCAATGAGTTCGATGGTTTGAGAAGCCTGACCAACCTGTAAGGATGATATAGCTGAGCAGAAATCTAACTATGGCATTGACACGCCAAATATGAGCTTTGACATGTGGTCGTTTTGTTTGAGAATCTCTGTTTCTTAGAATGATTGAGGAAATTTGTCACCCATTTTTGCCATACCGTTTAGCTGTCCCATTCCGGACTTTCTTGATTCAGACAACTCCACCTTCTGAGCATGCATCTGAGCTCCATGGAATGGCAAGTGTTGTCTCTCAGCGAAAACTTAAAAGTAGGGCATCGAGAAAATTTCACAAGACAGGTTTGCTTGCATGTTTGCGGATAGTGGGAGGTCAACGTACTACACCTGTTCCGACCCGGTGCCCATGGTGCTGTTGATCACACTTTCACGCAGACCATAATTTAAGGTTTGCAGCTTTCTACTCACAGTTCACTCTAGAACAGTGTCTGCAGACGGTACAGGGAAAAAAAGAGACGTACATGTTTCAGTTCCATCCGTTTTTCGGATAATTGCCAGGAGCCACACCCCCCTCCCCCAGTCCCCCTGCCCTCCCGTCCCCCTCCCCTCCCCCCTCCCCCCACCCCAAACCCACAAGTCCCCGCTGAGTGTAAGTAAGTAAAGTAAAGTAAATAAATCGTGTCTGTTTCCGAAGGGAAGAGTGTAGTCGCAAAGAATGAATTCACTTTATATGCGACTTAGTGCACAGTTGAGTACCGTACCAGGTTTTAGTAGCTATTTGCAGCATGCAAACAATTGCCCAAGCGAACTGTTTGACGGGGCTATTGCTCAAATGTCCTACAGTAAACAGGGGCATTGAGACTGCGGAAACCTCGGTACAATGACTCGTACGTCAGAGAGGCACTAGTTGCATCCTTTGTAAGAATAACTGTCTGCCACTTTTATGTCTGCGATAGAAACCTTGGAAGCAACGATCTTTCTACCCTGCCCGTGGGCATTTTCAAAGACCTAGTAAGCCTTAAAGAACTGTAAGTATTTCAGACTTAAAAGTACCCTCTTCCCCACCTCCTGCCCTACTCAACTGTCTAAATATATTCCCCGGCCCTCATATAAAATTGTTATTGGTCTGCTGTCGGCTCATTATTGCTGGTTATTGCTGACATCATTGATGATGGGCCAGGCTCGAAAATTTGGTGTGATAGAAATCTTAATTAATAGCAGTGAAGACACCGTTTGTGGAGTTTGGAGTTGAGCAGTGAAGTTTCCTAAACCCCCAAAAAGGTTTTTTTAAGAAAAAAGAAGAAAAACGCTGGACTACCCGCGAAAATAAATACCTTTTATGTACGATTCCTATCGAAGTCCATAGTTGAGTACCAGTGGCAGTGTAGAGTGTTTCTTCGTGGTATGTATTTTAAAAGACAACTGTGCCAGCTAATTGTTTGTGCGATATTTGATCGCATGCCATAATTATAGTCCACAGAGGCAGTTAGACATGGGAAACCTTCAAGTCAGCCAGGCACTATCGGCATCCTTTGTAAGATGAAAATGTACATGTATATCACTCTCATTTCTGCCACAGGTACATTCACGTCAACAGGATTACTAGCCTGCCTGCAGGCGTTTTCAAACCTCTAGCAAGCCTTCGACTTACGTAAGTATTTCAGAATTGAAAGCCCCCCCCCCCCCCACCTCCCACCTCCATCCAACTGCCTAACAATCGCTTGTCCAGCCTCTGTCTTATACTGTTATCGGGTACCTCCCCATGCAAGGCAAAAGTAAGGGAATATAGAATAGAAAAAGAGAAGAAAACACATAAGAACGAGTTATACAGCAACTATCCGCAACTGTAACAAGACTATAAACAATCAGAAAGTTCGATAAAACAGGGCACGAAACTGACAGGGTACTGAGACATTCAACGACCTGATAGCTTTCTCTAACATATCTCCAGTACGCAACCAGCAGCCTGTCAGTGTTAATCAGCTGCGACTCAAGATTGAACTTTTTGAGGGGGTGCTTCGGCACCCAAAGCACCGCCCCCCCCCCACCCTTGCCTACGCTCACACCGGATTCAGATCGCGGCCACGTGTTCAGCAGGTCACGGGGTGCATACAGGCGATCTGGGAAAACGTTGTTGAAGGAGGTAATATCCGAGAGGAGGTACAAAACAGCTGTGTAAAAGCATTTGACTATGTCATTCTCTTGTTTTGTTTTCATCCAGGTGGATATGGGCGAATCGCATCACCTCCTTGCCCCGCAATATATTCGATGGTTTGAGCAACCTGGAATTCCTGTAAGGCTGATGTTCCTGAGCAGAACTCTAATTACAGCATTGACACGCAAAATATGTGCTTTGCCAAGAAATCGTTTCGTTGAGAATTTTGGTTTCGAAGGATGATAGAGGAAATTTGTCACCACTTTTTGCCATACCACTTAGCTCTCCTAACGCGGTCTTTCCAGATCCAGGCAACCCCATATTACCGTAATACCAAGTATATTTCTGAGCTCTATCAAATCAAAAGAGTTAGCTTTCAGCCTACATATGGCATCACGAACAATTCATAAGACAGGATGTTGAGTTTACTCGTATCCAAATGTCTTTTACCTTTCTACATTTGAAGAAATCATCGATCTTTTCGCCGAATATGCAATTTTTGCACTAAATTTGCCGAAAATCGATGCAATTACAATTTCTGTAACCATTTTACTGCAAAAGGTGACTGCGACATTAGGAATTTTCGAATCGGCCCGCAGGAAAAGACCCCGAAATCAATGGCTGTCAAGTAGCTCTTTTAATTCGCACTTAGTGCTTTTCGCGTCCTTCAAAATATGCTGAAAAAGTGCTCTTTTCAGGGAAAACAGGCCAAAAGTGCTCTTTTTTCAGTGAAGCATAGCCATGATACATGTTTAGATATGAACCCAAGATGAGAAATGAATACGTACTCTTCCATTTATGGGTCCTAGAAAGGCAAACCAGGAAGTAAAGTTCAAAAACCCCACTTTTTACAGCATTGTGTACACCGGGTACAAGCTTCACCAACTTGTTACCCCCCAAAAAAGCGTCGTGCCAAGGCCCATCGCGATATCGAGCACTCGGAAACTGTGATCGTATGCACGAGCAAACAAATTAGGGCACTTTTTCAGCTAAAAAAGCTCAAAAAGGGCGATATTCACCAAAAAACGCAATAAACGGCAAAAGAAACGGGCTTTTCCAAAAAGGGTCAAAAGGGGCGAAAAAAAGGGCGAGCACCTTTGGGAAAGGGCTACTGTCAAGGAATCGCCGATGATAGCGGCGATTTTACATAATTCGAACTGAATTCGCCGAAAATGATGTTTAGTTCCGATACAGCGTGCATGTAAAAATAATATACGTGTAAAAAATAATCTACGTGTAAAAATAATATACGTGTGTAGTATCCCTGCCCGACCAATACGGAAGTAGTACGGAACTAATATGGAGCTTTGCATGATGTATAGTTAGTGTATCTCCGCATATAAGCGTACGGCGTCTGCTGCATAAAAGCAGCTGCGTTTTTTCTGTTTTAATTAGATTAGATTAGATTAGATAGCAATGAAAGCTAACTCGAAGAAGAAGGATTCAACCTCTAGGTGAGCACCGGAGAGAAAGTTATTTATTTTGCCGCTTCTTCTTTCACTAACAATTATATCTCAGGTGTGTACCTGAAAGTAGAATAAAAGTAATTCTTGTTGATTGCAACGCGCCTACCACTCGGCTACCCATTACACGTGTACATGTAAGTATACAATGTCATGTATACCGCAATCGGTGACCTCAAGTACTGCTTTGAGCCGAATTATGACCTTGAGGCTCATAATTTGGCCGAATTTGGACATTCTCTTAGCCGGTTTTAGGAATTTTAGAGATCTGGTGCACCTAGAACACCACGTGTTCTACGACGTCCGCAGACTAAGTCCGCGTTCAGCCTCCACATCACACTACGAGTCAGCTACCACATGATTCCGTTATAATTACAAACTGGAAACAGGAAAACTTGAAATATTGGCAAGCAATGGCGGTCGGCAGACCAAGAGAGAACCTAAAGGCTGTGTTTACATGAGAAATTTCAATCCGGGTCGAGTTCAGCCCGGGTTGAAAGTCTGTACGATAGACAAAAAAGGTGAGCGTTTACATGAAGACAGTTGACCCGGGTCAAATACTGATATGCCGCCAAAAGTCCACTTTTACAGTCCTGTATGGTCACGTGAATCCGTTCGCATGAAATTTGCATCTCCAGTGCCGTTCAAACCTGGCGCGAGATACGCACAGAAGTACGTTTGTACGATTTCTTGACCCGGGATGAAATCCAATTGGGGGGAGGGTTGAAATCAACCCGGGGCGAAATTTCCACCCGGGTCAAGCGCAATGCGTCATGTAAACGCGCCATTCATTTTGTGCACATGGCGGGTTGAAATCTGACCCGGGCTGAACTCAACCCAGGTTGAAACGCTTCATGTAAACACAGCCTGACTACTCTTCCTCCCCAAGGAATGGTCAGCCTGGAAAAAGGCTGGTGCAAGAAAGGTTGTACCGTAGACCTATGTGTATAAATACGTCGTCTCACTCCTGTATGCAGCAATGGGAGTGCGGACCGTGCATGATGGAATAATGTAGGACAAGAATATGGGGGAAGGTACGCTACAGGATATGATCGTTAAGGCCTCGGTCACACTACGGCAAAAATGCGGCGTCAGCTTCAGAATCATGAGCTTTTCCATGGCAACTGACGCAAACGCGGGAAGTATGAGCGTCAGAGGCTGCTGCGTCGGACGTGGGGAAATCGGCTGCGTTGCCGCTGATTTTATTTATTTATTTATTTATTTATTCAACATCTCCTGGCCCGTCCGAAGACTGCCAATAAACATGAGAGGTCAGGTGATAGCCAACCACGGCAAGCTAAAAGGGAAAAAAAAGAAAGATGCTGTCAGAGAGGGAAAGGAGATAGGGAGAGAAAAAGAAAGGGAGGCACATTAATAATACATGGGATCACTTCGGATGAGACAGTGTGGAAAGCTGGACTGTGAATTTCCTGATATCCTGGCATGTCTTAATGCTAGTAGGCAGGTTAGACCAAAGGGAGTATGCTGAGAAGAAAGGGGATTTCAAAAACAGAGAGGAACTAGCTCGGGGCAGTGATAAGGCATTGCGTGTTGGTCTAGTGGTAACAAACCAGTTGTACTTGGCAATATGTTTCGGGACTTGGGCTAGGAAGATTTTTTGCACAAGGATACAAAGATGCTGCTGATGTCGGGCAAGAAGAGGGTGCGTGGAAGCAAGTTTATAAAGACAAAGGGAGGCAAATGTTTGGTCTTTTCGAAACAGAATTTTCAGAAGCAAGCGTTGATGTACCTCCAGTCTGTGGAGTAAAGTCTGAGACAACCCGCACCAAGCTATATCGCAATAGTCAAATATAGGCAAAATGTACGACTTAAAGAACAATTCTCTGCAGTTATCATTCAAGTGTTGGCAGTGGGGTTGTAGCATACCTAAGGACGCACTCGCACGCTTGCACACAGACTGGACTTGTGGAGACCAGGAGAGTTGGCGGTCGAGAATAACGCCCAGGTGCTTGTGCTCGTTAACAACTTTAACAGGTGTACTATTTAGACCAGGAAAATACAGAAGTTGAGTGGGGGGCGAGGGAGAGAAGAACATGGCCTCGGTTTTGGCGAGGTTAGGCTTCAGTTTCCAGGTTTCCATCCATGTTACTGTAGCGTTGACCCCGGACTGCATGGAGGCCGTGAGGTTGTCTGCCGAGCTGTCGGAGCACATCAGAGCAGTGTCGTCAGCAAAAAGACTTACATTTGGTACAAGGGCTGGCAAGTCATTAACGTACAGTAGAAATAGGAGCGGCCCAAGTATGGACCCCTGGGGTACCCCAGACACGACTAGTAATGGGTCTGATAGGGAGGTAGATACTCTGACAGTCTGGTGGCGGCAGGAAAGATAGGATGAGAGCCATTGCAGGGCTGGACCGTGTACCAAGAAGACGGACTCTAGCTTTGCAAGCAGACCACGATGCCAGACGGTGTCGAAAGCTTTCGCTAGGTCAAAGAACACGATGCCAACATGCCGCCTGAGGTTCCGCTGGGTGTAGATGTCTTGTACTAGACGTGTTAGTTGGAAAGTTGTGGAGTCTCCACGGCAGAAACCGGATTGAGATGGTGAAAGCGCTGGGGTGACGTGGCAGTACAGAGACTCAAAGAAAATACGTTCACAGACCTTGGACACAGCGGGAAGGAGAGAGATTGGTCTGTAGTTGCCAGCCTGAGAGCGTTGGCCTTTCTTATAGATCGGGACGATAACAGCAGATTTCCAGACGGACGGAAATACTCCTGTACGATATGACATGTTAAAGAGCAGGCACAAGGGATAGGACAGAGATGGCGCAAGCCATTTGAGAACCTCATTGGGTATGCCATCTTCGCCAGGGGACTTACAATTCTTCAGGAGTTTGAGGTGCTTACAGACGGTAGCAGTCGTGGTAACGACGCGTGTGAGTGGTGCGCTAAGTTCAGGGGCTGGGGACAGCGATGGAATGACCCAATTCGGATCTTCCGGAATGCCGGATGAAACAAACTGCTTGTTCAGTGTGTCTGCAATCGCCTTCACATCGTGCTGGCGGTTGCCATTGGAGTCCGTCAGGTACTGGATTGGCGCGCGGGAGGTCCCGCGGCACTGGTTGCGAATGAATTGGTGGAGTGATGGGCGATCGGGGGAGGAGAGTGTTGCAGAAAGAGAGTTTAGAAAGGAGCGGTGTGAGGTACGAGAAAGGTGCTTGACGAAGTTGCGTTGAACTCGGTAAGCCTCCCGGTTAACCGGCGTTGGGAATTTCTTGTAGATGCTGAAAAGATCACGCTTGCGCTTCACTTCAGATACGAGGGACCGTGTCACCGATGGGGGACTAGATGTCGAGGATGTTGGGTTGGAATGTTTCCGGTTGTTGTAGCCGATAGCAAAGTTAGAGAGGTGCTGTTGGAACCCTCGTTCAAGGACGGCTGCAAAGTGATCTACCGCGGCGTCAACAGTTGGAGAGCCTTCTGGTCGCAGAAACGACCAGTCGTGGCAGGAGAAATCAGCGTTCATAGAGTCCCAGCACTGAGAGGGAACTCGACGGAAGCGATATGGGAACGGTTTGCGAGAAGGAAGTGGCAGGTCTGGATCCGAGGGCAATGAGACGGCGAACTGGCATGAAACCATGAGATGGTCCGAGGAGCCAAGAGCGCAAGCTGTGTGAACGTCCGTCGCCAGCAGGGGTTGGTTCGTGAAGACAAGGTCTAGGCATGACTGTGTTCCGGAAGATGTTGTGTGCGTTGGACTCTGCACCAGCTGATCCAAACCGAAGCAGGTAAGGGTGCGAAAAAGTGCCGCCCCAGCAGGACACGTTAAATCCGATGGGCACCACCGTTTGTGCTTACTGTTGAAGTCCCCAGCCATTATGACATGGTACGATGACATGGGAACGGTTACCAAAGCACTAGCTAGCATATCACAGAAGTGGTCTATTTCCGTGGTTTTGACTGAGGGCGGACGGTAGGTACAGCAGACGAGGATGGGTGTCGGGGAGCCTAAGATTGGGTGAAGCTCAACCCATACGGATTCACAGGTCGGACGAGCAAGGTCGTCGCGAACTTGGACTCTTCCGAAGCGATTTCGCCGGACAAGAATCGCAACTCCACCATATCCTCTGGTTGCCGTACCGGATTTGTTATCATGAGGTGGTCGGTCGCGACGAAATGTGGTATAACCGGAGATGGTGAGCGCTATGCTTGGATTTAGCCATGTTTCATTTAGACAGATGACATCAGGTTTGTTGAAATCAGCAATGACAGACAGTTCGGCAGATTTGTTAACGATTGAGCGGCAATTTACGGAAAGCAAGGTCAGTTTACCCTGGCAAGGGGGGAAGTAGGGCCGAGCCAGTGGATTCAGCTGTGGTCGCGCCATCATGCTGAGCCTGAGGAGAGGACGTTGTTTGCCTGGTTGGCATTGCTGGTGTCAAAACTGTCCGCGGCAAAACGCCAGGGCCTAACCGTGTGCGAAAAAGCATCCGGCCAGAACCCTTTGTCACCGACTGTGTTCTCATCAGCTGCCTCGACGGTCACCCATGCGTAGGCAGTTCTGAAGTGCTTGGATGCAAATATGACACCTTCCTGAATCTGCACTCCTCGGGCAGAGGACCATTCAGCAATTGATGATGCGGAGCAGTGTGGCTGCACGTTGCCAACGTAAAACACTTTGCGTTTGGCCCGGGGTGATGCCGTGAGGTCTACTGCCGGCTCGCTATCACGAGCCGGCTTGGTGTAGCGGGATGTTTCCACCCGCCTTGTTATGCTTTGAGCTAGCTGGGACTGACTACTAGTATCTGCCGCGTGCCTTTGTCTCTGGGCGGCTCGAGTGCGTCTGCCCTGGTGTTCCTGCCATTCATGTACTTGTTGTTCAGTATCGGTGGACCTACGGGATGCATCCAGGCCTGCTGCGGGGCTGGAGCTACGACTTGTAGTAGTGCTGGACCTACGGGATGCATGCACGCCTGCTGCGGGGCTGGAACTACGACTTGTAGTAGTGTTGGGTTGTGGCACACGCGTTTCTCCTGGCAGGCTGCCACTGCCGGCGTGTGTACCCTACGTTTGTACAGACCTGCCCGTTGTGGTGCTGAGCCTCGCACGTGCACTTGCAGTTTGTGTGGCGGTTCCTAGTACTACGTCGCTGTACTGGTGTGGCATGGCGTGCTGTGTGTGTACGCTAGTATCTCGCAGGTCAGCCATTTCCCGCCTCAGCTGTTGAATTTCAAGCTTCAAGGAAGCAATTTCATCATCTCTTCCCACCCTAATTGCCACTATTTCTTTATTCAGGTCCATTATTGTCGAGGACAATGCGGCCAAAGCAGTCGTGACGAGTCCGCTTTCGGGATGCCAGTCCGGGTGGCCAGGTTTTGTAGACAGTCGAACGTCAGAAGGGCCAGGTCGACATGCTCATTGGTGGCCATAGTCCGCAGTACAAGTCACAGCTCCTGTAGGTTACAGTTACAGACTCGGAAAGGCTGATAGGAGCGGAGCTCCTAAAACTGCATCCGCACTCGAAAAATTCTACTACTGTGGGAGTGACGCTTGGCGGAAAAACAGTGTCTTTCAAGTAAAACTAGTTTCAAGCCAGTTGCTTGAGTTGAGCAGTCATTCGACAATCGTCTCTTCAAGGTTTGTTTTGTTCCCTCTTTTTTTCGAGATGAGTCCGTGGACCTACGAGGCCGAGGCTGCTCTGCTCCAAACCTGGCGGAAGAGCTTGGCGTTTTCTGAGAAGAAAATGATGTCGAGAATAGGCCTTGACGGATTATGCTAATATTTTCGTGAAATTATGCTTTTCGCATTGCTGAAAAAAAAATTGCAGAATTATGCTATTTTTATGCTAAAAGTTATCATATTATGCCGCATTATGCTCACATATGCTGCTAATGCATAATGGTTCTGTGCAAAATAACAGAGGAATTTTTTTGTAGAGGGCATTGTACTGTAGTAGCCAAAGTTCAACGGGGTCAACGCACCGTCCGACCTACCTACGACCATCACTGATTGTAGTGGACTGGACATGTTATCAAGGGAGTCGTAAACCTACAACTTCCTAGTGCATCTACTTGTACTTGTACTTGTGGAACATGTACAACTGTATGGAATTTGATGCGAACAGGCGGATTATTACAATTTTATGCGATTCGTATGCAATTTGCCTCGAATTATGCGATTATTCGATTTTGGTAGGAATTATGCGAAAAATTATGCTAGCAGAATCCGTCAAGGCCTAGCCTATGTCGGAGAGGCACTTATTATTTTTTAATTTAATTTTTTATTTGAATTCGCATAGCTCAACAGTACAGAAGTACATCTACAAGAAGTACCGAATAGAAGGCCCCGAGAACGGGAAACCAAAAAAAAACAAAAAACAAGAACCAAAAAAACAGCAACATCAATTTACTGATTATGCGCATTGCTTGAAAGCAAATCACAACAATGATTAATTAAGAGTGAAGCTGGCTTTTAGCCAAATAGCCAATTTGACGCGGAAATCTGCGATAGTAGTGCAGGACTTCAGGTTGTCTGGTAAATAATTCCAAACAAGAGCCGATTTACTTGAAAAGGACATAAAGCCAGACATAGATCTATAGCGATTGACACTCATGCTATGAGTTCTGTTGTTGAGCCGCCAGTAGTTAGGGTAGACGTACAGATGGGAAAGAGGGCCTGCAAGCAAACAGCCGCCTTAATACAGTAACAGTGGAAAATGAATACAAGGAACAAAAATACTGATCGATATTGGAAAGAGGAAACATTGAGGTGGTGAACAAGTGGCGTGATATTAGCTTGGGGTGATGCGCCACAAGCAACTCGTACAGCGCGCCGGTGGAGTGAGGCTAGCTTGTTTCTATTTTTAGCGGATATAAACGAAAGGTATACAGGGAGAGCATATTCTAGATCAGGCTGGATAACACCGACAACGAAAGTACGGCGGGCAAACAGGTTCATCTGGCGGAAAGATCGGCGCAGTATACCGATCTTCCGTGAGGCTTTCCGGACGACATTGTTAATGTGTTGGTCAAAGGACAGCGTATTGTCAACAACGACTCCTAGGCATCTGGTGCTTTCCACTTCCCCTAGCGTAACATTTGACAAGGTGATTTGCAGTTGTTGCCCTTGTTGTTGTTGCTGACTCCCTGTGGCGCGTTTGGGATGGATTTGCATGACAACGGTTTTGTCGGTATTTATCTGCAGGCCAAGGGAGCCAAGGTGGTTGTTTAGTATCTCCAGTGCCGATGACAACTTGGCTTCGGAACGCGCGTTCGACGGATCACTAGAGTAGACTGTCTTGTCATCTGCGAACATCAGTAATTTTGAACCCGCTGGCACTAGTGGTGTCCTTTGTAAGGTAACCTGTCTGTCGCTGTTATTTATGCCATAGACACCTTGGCCACAACTATCTTGCCAGCCTGCCTGTAGGCATTTTCAACGGCCTATCAAGCCTTGAAGATCTGTAAGTATTTCAGACGTAAAAGCAAGCGCTCGTCATACCTAACATTCTTGTTTCTCTCTGCTATTTGGCTCGTCCTCATAATGTCGACTTTTTTCCTACCTTCCCAGTGTATTGGGGTCCTTTTGTACCCCAGGATTATTTTGGGTGGTATTCTTGCAAAATCTCCATTTTATGTGTTGGTTTTGCTGTGTTACCTTAAAGGGGAACTGTCACCAAAACATTTCTTTGTCTTATCTTGTAGTTCTTTGGCTCCTGATCACGATGGGTTTATCCGTTTTTCTCTGCGATGGCTGGAAGTGGGTGAAACCTTGAAAAGAAGTTGCCCAAAATTGTCCCGAAGTACCGAGTGACGTCACGCCGGACTTGACCTCCACGCGTACATTCGTCGTCAGAAACGAAGTCCAGCCCGTGTGCTGGTCGATCGAGCTAGCTGTTCCAATGTACGGTGCACGTGTGCCTTTTGAACTGTAACACAGATGGGTACGTCGTACCGAAGGAGAATGCCAAAGAGGCAGAGACCCACGTGCAGCTACACAGCCAAATCAAAGTAAAAAGCAGCTGAGCTTTCACCTTTTTGACTTCTTCCGCGAGTATCTAAGTAAGTTTTATTTTGTGAGCACGGAAGTCGTTGTTGTTTTGAACTTGTCGTGTGAGGAACAACACGATGATGAGTGCGTATGCAGAAAACAGTACTCCTCCGGCTGGCGATAACACCACCAACCCGAGCCCCAAAGGAACGCGATGTAGGTACGTGAAGGCGATTCATCTGGCGATGTTGCTGAAGATGCAGATGACAAACTCTGACGTCTTTCATTTCAGAACCGGGTGGGCAACACCGCCACCTTCGATACAACGACATAATTTTCAAGTACGAGGTATGTGTGTCACACTAGCAGCAAACAAACATCCTTCGACTCCTTCGTAATCACAAATAAAACAAAGAGCTGGAGCTTCGTGGAGGAAGTACCAGTGCGACAAACTGCTGTCGACTTTTCTTTATTTTGTCCCTTTTTGGCGTTCTCATTGTGTACAACGTACACATCGAGTGTCCGAGTTCAGAAGGCAAGCGTGCGCCGTACATCTGGTACATCGAACAGTTGGCTCGATCGACCAGCACACGGGCTGGACTTCGTTTTTGACGATGAATGTACGCGTGGAGGTCAAATCTGGCGTGACGTCACTCGGTACTTCGGGACAATTTTGGGCACCTTCTTTTCAAGTTTTCACCCACTTCCAGTCATCGCAGAGAAAAACGAATAACACCATCGTGATCAGGAGCCAAAGAACTACAAGATAAGACAAAGCAAATTTTTGGTGACAGTTCTCCTATAGACCAGTGCTTTGGCCAAACTGCATTTGTTGACAGCTCTGAAGTTTTTCGGGATTATTTGCAAGTTTGCAAGAATACCACCCAAAAACGTTCCTGGAGTACAAAAGGACCCCAATATACTGGGAACGTAGGAAAAAAACAAGGAATGAGGGATTATGGCTGTAGAAGAACATTTTCTTGTAGGGCCTCATACGTCAGTGGATGTCATCCATGCATTCGGTGACCATGAAGATAAATACCAAAACTATCGCAATTGTTGCACTTCGCTGTGTTCCATTTTACTGTGGTCCATTTGGACCCCGCTCGCATTTTCCGTAATAGAAGTAAACTCCATCATGAACCTCTCACCCAGACTATTTATTTATCTCGGTTATTGTGTTGTTGAGGAATACATGAAGTTTCAGGTAGATGTGATAGAGTAAAGTAAAAATATTTCAAAAGTCATACCTCTGAGGTCCATTGCACCTCACAAAATAAAGTAACAACAACAACAACAACAACAACAACAACAACAACAACAACAACAACAACAACAACAACAACAACAACAACAACAACAACAACAACAACAACAACAACAACAACAACAACAACAACAACAACAACAACAACAACAACAACAACAACAACAACAACAACAACAACAACAACAACAACAACAACAACAACAACAACAACAACAACAACAACAACAACTACGCAATTCCTTAAACACTTCTGCTCTCTCCTCCATCTATCTAACCTACATCCGCCCTATTCTTGAGTATGCTTGCACTGTCCTCTCACCCCTCCCCGCAACCCTGAACGACCGGCTTGAGCGCATCCAACGGCGCGCTGCTCGCCTCTGTTTGCATCTCCCCCTCTTTGAACACAGAACCCACTCCGTGCTGCTGCACCGACTCAAATGGCCATCACTCAGCAGCCGCCGTACCCTCTCCCATATCCTTCTTGCACACAGCCTGCATCATAGATATGCACCACCACACCTTCTTGCAATTCACCTACCCCGAATACAACCCATTCGCACGCTCAGGTTCCCCCGAACCTTTGAGCTACCCACAACACGTACAAACCGGCTAAGAGACTCCCCCATCTATGCTTCTCTTGATCTCTTTAATAGCATCCCACCCAGCATCCGGCAAATCAACCCCAGACGAGATTTCAAAGCAAACATCCTACCACTTGTCATCTCTTCCGTATGTACTTGCTCACATTGCTCAGCACATTTATAGCTCTATTGCGCCCAGCCTACGTGATTAACTCCCAATTAGTATTGCCATCGCTACTGCCTCAGCAAGCAGCTAAACCTTGATCTCTCTGTATCTGATCCCCGTGCCTGTAATTATTTTTCTCTTATTGGCCACAGGCCATCGTGAGAATAAAAGAATTCAAAAAAAAAAAAAAAAAAAAAAAAAACAACAACAACAACAACAACAACAACAACAACAACAACAACAACAACAACAACAACAACAACAACAACAACAACAACAACAACAACAACAACAACAACAACAACAACAACAACAACAACCCCTGCCCGTACACTTAAGTAGTCATTAACCCCTAGGCCCTGCGCACCCAATTCTTCCTCACTCTTTCTCCTTTCTTACACTATTATCTCTTATTGGCCACTGGCTATCGTGAGAATAAAGATTTGAAACAACGACAACGACAACGACAACAACAAACAACAACAACAACAACAACAACAACAACAACAACAACTACGCATGCTCAACACCCCGTCTCAAGTTACGGCCCAGTATAGCCTTCGATACGCACGCGCTTGGCACCTCCCACCCTCCAGAACCGACCGATGTAAAGACTCCCCACTGTACAAGTCCCTACAATACTACAATGCCCTTCCTGCTAGCATTCGTGACGTCTCCTCCCGACCTGCTTTCAAACAAGAAATCTGCTCACTGCTGGATCTGGTCCTGCAGCGCTCACCCTCTCCCACACTTGTAAAATTCAATGTGATGTAAATCACTTTCCAACTGCATAACCCACAGCCCCACCCACAGCATCCCACCTTCTCATAAACTTATCTCTTATTGGCGATGGTGCCATCGTGAGAATAAAGAATTCAAAAAAATTCAAAACAACAACAACACAAACAACAACAACAACAACCCGGAATGAGGGTTAAGTGCGCTCACCTTCCGCTTTTTCACGTTCTTCCATAAGTTTGAACCCTCCGAGTTGGAAGGCGGTTGGCTTGCGCAATCTAAACGTGATGCAGCTAAGCATCGGCTCGTTCAATGTCAGTATCACATCAGTCAGTGTTATGCAAATTGTTGCACGTCCTGAATCACAAGTATCTTGCAAACAAACGGATAAGTTGCAAACCTTTGGCGCATCTTATACCCACTGTCGCACTCCGAAATCTTTTCGCTCCGTGAACGTACTCAGTAAAGAAGGATTGCCCCCAAAGAGCCTGAGAAGGCTGGAACTGGAAGGTGGACGACTCTTGAGCTGTGCATAAAACCCAAGTACATGTACATGTGTAGTTCATTAGTAGCAATTGCATAAACCAACATCTACCACCTAAATATTATACCGTATTTCCGCAAATAAAAGGCCGTCCTCGTATACAACGCCTTCCTCGTATACAAGGCCGGGGCAGGAGGCGATTGAAAAACAAAAAGACCGTCTCCGATTAGAAGACCGGGCCTACTAAATGAATCTTTGTTCTTGTGTTACAAATAGAAGACCGTGCTCAAACTGTGGGGAAAAATAGAAGACCGTGCTCAAACTGTGTAGAAGAAAATGGAAGAACTGGGGTAAAACTGTGTGGCGAGAAATAGAAGACCGGGGTCAAACTGGGTTGAAAGAATAAAAGACCGTCCTCGAATACAAGACCGTCCTCGATTATAAGGCCGGGTTAGGACGAGGTTGAAAAAATAGTAGACCGGCCTACTATTTGTGGAAATACGGTATGCTTTCTATAGAAGCCTTGCTTTATAGGTTTAATTCGAAAACATGTTACACCTGTTTGCTGTAGTTACAAGGTTTCACTTTTCATAGACTTTCGGTTTGTATGCACGAAAATGGGTGTGGACAATGTTTTGCTTCCGTGTTCTTTTCCTGTTAGGATATTGTTCGACAACAAGTTCACCTCATTGCCTATCGGGATTTTTGACAATTTAACTAATATTGTCGCTATGTAAGTGAAAGAAATGTCTGCAGGGGGGGGGGGGGGGGAGGTGGGGGGGGGGACCAAAAGCTTGGTGCCCACGTAAGTCGAGCGTTTGTTCATTTCAGACATGTCGCTGGACTCAAAGGACTCCCGACTCTTCTAGCATACTTGTAATATTATAGCAAAGTAATGGGTGCTCTATTACCAGGTGTGCCATGTGTGTGCCTTGGTTCGTGTCGCGTTCCGTGCAGTTGATTTGATTTTTTTATTTGAATTTTCAAGGAGGAACCACGAACGTCGAAAACAGAATACTAGTGCTGCATGGCAGAGGTGGCTGCAGACGCAACTGTGGTTGTGAAACTGGAGCATCTCCGACGACCTGAGGTCTCCGCTACTGTGACACTTCCGTGCACCAAAAACATTTACATCACAAGATTGCTTGCCATGGAATGTGATTAGTTATCATCGTCAAGATTTGCGGTGTCGAGGGTCTTGAGACACCTGGGCTTGCTATTCATTCTTTTCAAACCATTCCCCTTCTTTTGCTACGGTTGGTCGTGGCACAAGATTTTTCTTTGTTCCTGGCATGTGTTATTCTTATCTCTCAGGAGGCTTGACAACAATCAGCTCACGCTTTCAGAGGACTTGTGTAGCTTTGCGTTTGTACTGCCACTCAGTACTAAGGAGCTGACTGGTTACTCAACCGTTGACCAGAATGTTTTCACCTATGTCAACAATAGTGAGTTTTATCTTTTCTGCCAATTCCCCCCTCCTTATGACTGTGTTCAAACGTTGACATTCTAACATTGCACTTTCATCTTGTTGTGAAGAGGGCCAGGGAGGAGTAAAGTACCGATATTGTACTACACACTGTAGAGGACCAAATGGTTGATGAAGGAGGCGCTTTCCCTTTTTATTTTGTTATTTTTTTACTATTATTCACAAACCCAACTCGTAAAATAAATAATTATTTGGACAAAAACAAACAGGTACTGAGTAGGGGCTGCACTGGGCAGCAGTAATGGTGAGGTACCAGACGCTCCACCGACCAACCCCTCCATGTTTCTACAGTCAGACATGGTGATTGGACATTGAAGAAGTGGTTTCCGGTGTTCGTCAATGTTTAGGAGAATTGGAATCACAACAGGCTCCGCTAGGTTCACCAGCGAGAATCTTAGGGCATAGAAGTGACACATGTGTTCCCAGCTTCCAAACAAAAGAAACTCCACAATTAAAAAAAATCAAGAGTCTGAGACTCGGCTGTAAGGCGAGTTTAACGCATCCGTAGGAGCGTCACCACCCTCTAAGATCAAGGCGCAGATGCAGCTCCCAAGCGGTGGGAGGTGGGAGGCCATTAGATCAGACCCATCCGAAAATGGTCATAGACCGAAATCCCATTACCTGCATCCACAAGCCAGCTGTAAACTACTTCAGAAGTAAATCGACGACGGTCATTCGTTTCCAAAACAAGACCAAAATCAGCGAGTCGTAGTAAGATAATCTAGATTCCTGGAGATTTGATAACAAAACAGTTGGAATTCCTTCAATACATTTCATGTATTAGATTGAAAAATTACTAACATGCACAGGTAAAATCTATATTGTCATGCATTTCTTTTCGTCCTGCAGATCTAATCCAAGTGAACTTCACCGCAACGCAGATAACCAATACCAGTGTCAGTGTTAATGTCTCTTTGAGCAATTCCAGTGGCATCAGCAAGTGGTGTGTTGACTACACGCGCACTCACCTGGCTGGTGTTTCGTCCCCCGGAGCGAGAAACACAACATGCACAAGCAACATCAATGGCATTCTCGATATCACAGATATGGGCACGGATGCGACTTACTCCTTAGCTGCTTATGGCTTGGTTCCGGGTGGTAGCATCAAATATTGCCGATCACGATCCTCACCATTTAAAACCCGTGAGTTGCTCTGATATGAAATTTTATCTCTGACATGGCTTGGTTTATACTGACATAGGGGGGAACAGCATACATGCGCTTTTCCACCTAATGCTGCAGACAGCAAGCAAGCTGTTTCGGCCGAATAGCCCTCATCACTACATCTCCGAGCTTTAAATACGGGCCATGGCGCAAAGGAAGCACCAAAAACCACACCAAAGTTGGCTCGTTGCTCTACCGTCAGAGTGTCCCAACAACAAAAAGAAGTTAGCGCTGCATAATGAGGCAGCACTAGAGCATCCGACCGAGAGTGCTCAACGAGACAAATTTGGAGGAGCGCAATAACCAAATGCTGTAGGCATCAAGCTTGTTCGGCGATATATGCATCATCAGTACAGCTATCGGCTTAAAGTAAGCCGATATACGAACCATGCTGAAAAGGAGGCACCACAGACATCAATTTTAAGAGTTAATGTTTGTGACGAGCACATATCACCTGACATGACCAAATTTCCGATTTCGCTCAAAGTTGGCTGGCTCCTTTTATCCCTAGGTGGACCTTGTTCGCCCACTATGACAGTTTGGTCCAGAGACCCTCCTTTCCTTGGATAATGGGCCAAAATATCAAGCAAAATTTATGCACTGAAACAAGGTACAAGAACGAGGGGTCACTGCTCTCGAGCGAATCGATCGATTCAGCCTTTCCAGTGGTGGCCAATACGAAAGGCCATCTTTAAGGGCCAGTAGCAGCTGGGTTTCGACCTGAAATTGGGAGTAGTCCTCCGCCATAGTCTACTACAACATGTCCCCAATCGCCAACAAGTGGTCTTGAATAAAGCTATCCACTAAACAATCACTTAGGGAAATACCGGTATTCAAATTCGAACCTTTTCGCTACGCCCCCAGCACTGAGTTATCATTGGCATAATGGCTTCCCTCGCAGAAACTCTAATGAAGCTGCTGCGAACCGTCATTTGCTGAACACCAGCCCACCATGACGAGAATGAAGAACTGCTCCACAGCAACAAATGAGCAAGGACTGCAACAGCAGTGCAAGATGGCCCAGACTGGGCCAGAACGATAACTTTTGTGCTGGGCAGCTAGTGCATGTGAGTTTCACATGCGTGCCATGCTCCCATCAAAAAATTCAAACATTCTCTCAGGTTGCTATGAGTTTATGTGCTTTTTTTTTGCTAAGTACACAACCTACTCGTCAGAAGGGGAGAAGACAACAGAGTATACAATAACAAAACAGCAGGGAGAGTAGGGGCAGCAAAGCAAATCTGTGCTGGTGAGACAAGCCCACAACACCGACCTATGGTCTCGGCGTTAACGCGAGCTTGCGCACCATAGCCTAAACGATGGGGGTGATTTAGTGCGATAAAGACAAGACAAGGTGAGGTAGAGTGGTTGAGGAGAGAGAGAACATGAAAGAGAGAGAGAGAGATAGATAGATAGATAGATAAAGAGAGAGAGAGAGAGAGAGAGAGAGAGAGAGAGAGAGAGAGAGAGAAAGAGAGAGAGGGAGAGAGGGAGGGAGGGAGGGAGAGGGAGAGAGAGACAGATTGAGTATATATATATTATAGAGAGAGAGAAGGGGTGGTGGGGGTGGAGAGAAAACGAGAAGAGAGAAAAATAGACTCAAAGGTAGTTCAGATGCAGTGTACATGATGCAATGCTGGGGGGGGGGGCTTCAAGATGGAAATTGTTCTGTACTGTTAGAGGAAGTATGTGGCCCAAAGCTACTGGCTTCGGCGAAGATGGTAGTGGATGTTCGCTTTGAAGGATTGTAGGCCCTTAGGAGATGGTGGTTTGGTGAAGAGGGAGGATGGCAGCGCGTTCCAGGTGTTGATGATGTTTCATGGAAAGGTGCGTCTTAGGTAGTTAGGAGCGCCTCGAGGGAGAACATTTTCCAGTTGGTAGGGGTGTGAAGCAGACTGTTGACATTGTCTCCGGGTTACAGGTGCGGCATGGTAGACAAGGAGAGGAGGGACCATGAATCTCAGCAGAGGAGGACCTGGTTGGCCCAGTAGCTTGTAGACGAAAGCCAGCACCGCCACTGTCCGTCGGGCCTCGAGGCTCTGTAGCAAGATGTTGGGTCCCAGGTTGTGGAAGGCACGCCTCTGCACTCTGTTAAGGTGTTCAAGGTAGGTGGGAGCAGCTCCCATCCAGACAAGGGGAGCGTACTCGAGCAGGGGCTGGACGAAGCCGTGATACACGGCCAGCATGCCACGGCAGTCAAGAACGTGAGCAGCTCTACGTAGGAGGCCAAGACGTGAGTTTGCCATGGCAGAAACTGACCGGAGATGCGTGGAAAAGGATAGCTTGGAGTCTGCCATAACTCCGAGGAGCTTGAGGTGTGGCTGTTGGGGGATGACCTCCCCTCCAAAGTTTATTGCGGGGACAGGCCAAGGCTGCTCTCGATGGCAGGAGATTCGTAGGAGCTGCGACCTGGATGGTTCAAACTTAGCATGCCACTTTGTTCCCCATGCATGTAACGCATTGACAGAAGCTTGGAGACTGTCAGCTTGGTGTATGGCATCATCGCATGTATTGACCCAGGCATACAGCGTGATGTCGTCTGCCAATGTTCCCATTTCAGACCCTGGAGCCAGGCAGCTATCAGCATCATTTTACATTTACTACAAGTAGGAACAGGCACGGTCCAAGGATGCGGCCTTGTGGCACTCCTGCAGAGATCGGATAGCGATCGGAGCTCTTGCCGGCAATGACCACTTCCAGCAAACGACCTGCTTTAAAAGTAGTCTTTAAGCCAGTCCAGGCAGGCACCCTTCACACCGATGTTCCGCAACTTGTGCAGTACACCTATGTGGGAGACTTTGTCAAATGCCCCGGCGATGTCGACAGCAAGCACCTCCACAGATCTACCAAGGCCAGATGTGGCCGACCACATGTGGTGTAGTCCCGTAAGTAGATAGGATTAACCTAGGCCTCGGCGAAAGCCAAATTGCCTTGGTGATAGGAGGTTTTGTCCCTCCAGAAAGTTCATTAACTGTCGGTTGATGATGGACTCCATTACTTATTATTATTATTATTCGCTTTCATGTTATTGGGTTCTCTGCCCGTTTGAATTCGCGAATGAAAATAAATACAAACAAACAAACAAAAACTTTGGAACATAGAGAGCAGCGGGACTGGTCGGAAATTCTTTTCAGCGGATTTGGAAGACTTTATGTATACTGGAACTACTCGGGCAACCTTCCATGCCTGTAGTTGGTGGCCAGTACTGAAAGACAGGGAGAAGAGGCGTGCTATGGGCCCCGCAACCTCAGTTGCGCATTCCTTGAGTACCCTAGCTGGGATATTGTCCGGTCCAGTGGCTTTGGAGGAGTCGAGTCTTGCCAGATGTCGTCGTACTGTGTCAGCCCGGAAATGGATCCTTGTGACTGCTGGAGTTTCACTGTCGACAGAGGCAGCAGGCAGGCTGTCCACTGATATGTCGGAGGCAGGACTGCATTTCTTGGAAAAGAAAGAGCCAAAGAAGTTTGCCTTTGGCAGGTCGGATGCACATTCCTGCCCATGTGCATCAATCAGGGCCGGGATATCGGAGGAGCGATTTACACCCGCGACTGATTTCATCACCGACCATCACTGTTTGTCACGCAGATGACCGGCACAGAGCTTAGCCTGGACACACCGTTCCCAAGCTAGGCGGGCCTTGTCCATCACAGGTGAGGCATGGTTGACTCATCGTAAAAATGTCTGCTTCAGAGGCTCAGAAGATGGAAATCTCCTCCAGCGCCGCCAGGCCTGTTCTTTGAGAACTACTGCGTCCAGACACTCTGGGTTCCACCATGGAGGGTCAGGGAGTGTTGTGGTGTATTTCTTGCACGGGATGAATCGGTACATCCCCACTAGAATTGTCTCTGAGATGACATCCCAGACCTTGTTGCAGACTGTCCAATTTCCTGGCCACCCCAAATCTGGACACCCTCGGCCTCTACAGCCGGTCTAATTTTTCGTTTCTTTATATAACTGAAAGTGCAGGTGGCTATTATAAAGCTTCCTTGGCAGCCAAAAAATGTGCTATGAGGTACTACTGCCGGTACTGGGTGGCAAGTCGCATGAACATGAGCTCGCTAGCTCGGTGTCGAATGATTGCACGCAAGAGTCCATAATCATGATAATTTCCCGGAGGATTATCATGAGTATGGACTCTTCGTGCACGCATTATTAGCCATCTTTCCGTGGGATCAATCGTGATCCGTTGTAATTGTCGGAGTCAAGACGTGAAAAGTGGGATGAAAGTGTCGATTTTTCATTAAGCCTGGACAACAGGCGTCCGGATAAGGACCTCGGCAGGACGCAGGACAATTTCTCTCAAATCTGGACTGTCGAGACGAGGTCGGGATGGTTGGACAGTTTGTTGTTGCAGTCGGTATGGGGAGCAGTGACTGGCAGCCAACCTACAGATCTGAAGTGTGCCCTCAGTCTCGACCAATCGGCTTTGTTGTAGCGCCATACTGTTCTAGTAGAGCTCTCCTCCTCTGAGGGAGAAACCGTCAAGAAGTCTGCGATGATGACCGTATGGTCAGACCGTCCAAGGGGCTTATAGATAGAAGTGCTCACATGGCCAGGCAAGTCTGAAAGGACAAGGTCTAGAATGGCATCACCTCTAGTGGGAACCGAGATATGCTGCGTGAGGCAATACGCCGATGCTAGATCCTCCAGTGCAAGACCAGCTAATGTTGTTTTACTACTTTTGAGCCAAGCGGAATTGTGGACATGAAAGTCCCCTGCAATGACTACATGGTCACCGAGTTGCTGTGCTGCAGGTAATGAGCTGTCAAGGTAGTCGATGAAGGAGCAATCTGATGGGCTACTTGAACCGGAACGATACACAGCACAGACTACAACCTTGCCATGAGAGCACAAATCTACTAAGAGCCATACTACCTCAAAACCTTTACAGTCAATGGCGTCAAGGTGCCGAGCATGAAGCACTGTCGTGCGGCCGCGGTTACAATAAGAGAGATTTTGGAATTTTCGTTAGATTTTGAAGCCCGGGAACGAG